ATCTCTCGTTAGCTCGTTCGCTCTATCTCTCGTTCGCTCTCTCGTTCGCTCGCTCGCTCGCTCGCTCTATCGCTCGCTCGCTCTATCTCTATCTCTCGTTCGCTCGCTCGCTCTATCTCGTTCGCTCGCTCTCGTTCTTTCGCCAGATATCAGAAGTTTTAGATATAATTTATAAATGTTAGGTACGCGTTACAATATAAATTAAATTTAACTAGCTTATAAATCACTCTCTATTTTATGGTTGGATGATATTTCCCTATTCTGACAATACCTGACATCCTTATTCTGAAAATAAATTCGTAAAATGAAGTAGAACAGTCAACAACGCAGATTGAATGCATCTTGCAAACTACCCAAGTTGTTCGTACATCCGTTATGTAGTGTTGCCAATTTCGCATTGCGTGGTTGACAAACAATAATTTTACGAATTTTTAATTAGGAACCTCAATATTTAGTATAGAATAGCCGACACCGAATTAAATATTATGGTGTCGAGTACTTTGTTACAGATTTTTCTATGAGATACTAAAAACGAATTTAATAGAAACCGCACCTTTATTGGGTTTTAGCGGGGTTTACTTTTCGGTACTCTTGATGGGGTGCTCTCGCTCCACCAGCTTCAAACCTGACGACACTACATTGAGAAACATATTCTGGTAAGCCAACAAAAAAAAAGTATGGATGGGTACGACGTACGAACTTTTTCGTTCATGGCTTCACAAACAACTGGAAAATGCAACATGCTCCGTCATTCCAAAAAAATTGCAAATGTAGAAATAAGTTTATTTTTGCCAAACAATTTGCTTACAACCCCTGTGTCATGGAGGAATTCGTATGTACCAAATCTTGTATAGGAAAACAACTATTGAGATCGTTAGTTTCTAGAATGGATGATAGCATAGCAGTTCATGAATGAACAAAATCAATTTGTTTCGGATTCTATGGGTTAGGTGAATGTGCTTGGAATGAAGAGACCTTAAACTATCAGAAATTGTTTTATAAATTGCTGATTTGGAAGATATGATTAGACTGAAGAAACAATGCATGACAGCAGTGTAGAAGCCATCAAGGATTTGGTTGAAGTCAGCAGTATTGATGTTGACGTTGATTATATAGACGAATATTGTATATTTTTTTAAAAAGACTTAATATGTTTGTAACAAATAATGTACTTCAGATTTCGGGTCAATGACCCCCATCTCGGTCAGTTTTTGCCCAGTTTTCCTGATCCATTGAGCAAATGTTGAGATGGTCCCTTGTTTTGCTTCTGGACGCAAATGTAGCTTCACTATGCGCACGTTGTGTTGAACTTTCATTTTGATTGTAATGGTAAGAGTAGAGGTAAGGGCGAGTTGCTATTTTGTTAACAACGCAGAAAAATCATACTTGCAATTCGTGTACCGATACAAATAAGTTTTCTATAACTCAGAAACAAAAATATCTATTTTTCAAATATTGCTAATCTTGCAATTTTTAAAATTTATTTTTATTTATTTATGTTAAGATTTTAATCATCTTTAAACTATTTATAGTTAAAATGACGGGAAGGGATTCGGGAACTCAAGAAAACGTGCGCAGATAATATTTTTCGGTCCTACGTCACATACAGTTTTTACTGTTATTTTGACTGAATAAATCAAATCAAATAGACGAGCGGGTCGACTGTTGCATTGATAATAAAACTTGGGATGACGTGGTGTCGGAAGTTAACCCGGTCGACTACGATGAACAACTGAGTGATGAGTGACAACGATGAGTAGCTGAGAAAGTGATAGATTTCAAGTTGACCATTATTATTACTTCGTGCACTTTCCAGTATTAGAAGGTATAAGTTATTGGCCAATGAATTGAAAAATGACATTAATAAATTTGTTAGGTGAGATTGAAAAAGAATATGAACACATTATTGTGGCTGAACGTGTGAATAAATTCAAAAGGACAACTATATCAGATTTTATACTCGAAACAAAGAGTAATATGAGTAAGGTATGTACAATAGTGTTTGTCATTAAATTATATATTATGAATAGTTATATTTCATAAACTAATAAATACATAGCTGTTAATCATAAAGAACAAAAAATACAAGAGGTTAATCTTTAACCATTCTACTGTATAGTAGGAGGCCCTTATCCTATATGGGATGTTACGCGGGCTGTTACTTATTACGTATGGGTTTACGTCAATGCCCAGAATGCAGACATGCGAAGTGGAAACCCCTCCATGACAACCACATTTAGACCCATTTGTAACTGGTCGGCATAAAGGGTTTTACTGTATTTGTTAATTAGATTGAGAAGAGAATGTATGTGATGTCTGTCCTATTTTCCCTCCCCTGGGAAACCATTGGCATTTCGCTGTGACGTAGGCTGCCGTTAGCTTTCAATTCACCACCTCGAGGAAAGGCAATTCGCCCGCTTTCCACCAGCACAGTGAACTTAATTTTGGAATGGGTGTTACTAAGATGCTGGAGGAAGTTTCCTGAGATCGAGCGCCACATTACCAGCATGTCGTCCACATACCGGAGCCAGAAGCGGGAGAGGAGGCCCTAGTTCCAAGTCGCGTCGGTTGCCGGGTTTTCGACCCTGCGACACACATTTTCGATTCTTTCGCTGCCTGGAGGAGAATTCTAGCGACAGGCTGTTATGATCGATAATTTTCCATGGGTTTTCCTTCCAAGACTAGGTGACTGCCGCAGCAATACCCTGACCAAGGGGCCAGGGGCCGCGCGCAATCTTTTCTTTCTCCCCTTGTCCTTTCCTCTCCCCTTACACTTGAATGCACTACACTACCACATGCCGGGAGACCCGTCTGGAGCAAAGAGCTTGTCCCAGCTGGGGCGGTGCTCCGTTGTTGGTAAATACCCGCTTGGCGAAAACCTCGCTAGCGGGCGGTGTGTCGGCGCTGAATCTTACCATCTAGTGAGCGAAGATCAGTGACCACCTGAGGGGGGGGGGAACTTGCGCTACACTTACAGGACCAAATTTCTTTGCAGTTGACGCACCCAGATTCACTATTAATCGAAGCCGATGTTGGATTAAGTGGGGCACTCTCCGGTGCCTCCCTTTCCAAGGCTTCCATGAATAGGTTTCCCTCCAAAGACAGAGTAATAAGCTTACATAGAATTCGTACTAATCTCCTTCAAAGTTCGATCTTTGTTAGCCCTTGTACCAACGTTCAAGGGGAAGTATTTCTGGCAGACACCTTTCGGAAGGGCATTCAGCTGCTGTGTCATACCCTCTGAATGTCGGGAATATTCTCAAAACTTTTTCCCTTTTAGCACGCTTTTTATTTATTTATTTATTTATTTATTTATGTTGGAAGAGCTACAAGTCGCTTGGTGGTAATCTAGCAAGTAAGACGGGTGGGGACAGACAGCATAACTTTTCCGACCAAAAACTTGCGAATCAAATGCGACGTGTGGCACGGCGCGTTGCCGCGATAAGAAGCCATTGCTTCATTTTTCTGGTAGTGTCATTTGCACATTCTGAGTTCAAACGCTTTGTACGTACTTGACCGAGATGTTAACTTCTCCAGTAAGCTCTCAATTTGTCATTCGTCTTTTAGAGCGAACACGTTTTCAGGGGGTGGATCCAGGCGATCTTCGGGGGTAAGGGAGGGCATCATAGATATTTGTTAAATAAAAAAGTTAGTACATTGTATACTATTTTTGTAGTGTATATACGATATAATACAATGTTTTTTAAATAATTCCATAATTCGAATATTAATAAGTTTTGCTAAATAAAGGAAGGTAACAAACAAAAACTCTAGGCCTTTTGGGGAGGAGCGTGCCTCCCCCAACACTGATATTAACAAATTATTAGCATCTTTGATGTCAAAACTTAATGTTATTGCGTTGTTTGAAACCCTTGATGCGCGACGGACAAGTCAAACCGTGTTCAAACTTCACACTGCCCATCTCGAAGATTCAGGCTCTTGAACATATTACGTCAAATTGAAGTAGCGTCAGTAGTTTCCAACGTCATATTCACAATAGCGGCAATTTGTTTACATTACTGCACTTAGGAGTACATGTGCTTTAAGGTAGGTTTTATGAAGCTCTCATGAAAAATCGAAACTTTTCTGTAAAAACGAACTCAAAATTCCACATTTTCAAAAACACTCAAACGCCATTTTCTTAGAAATGACTTCAAAGTTTTCGCAAGGATAGATCTAATTGCAATGTTTAGGATGACATAATTTTTTTTAACGCTGTTAATATGCACGTTTCCAGCGATTTGTATACATTATTGCATTTGCAAGTGAAAGTGCTTCAAATGACTTTATTTAATTTTTTTCGTGAATTCTCAAAATTCCCGTGAATACGAGTTTTAAATTTCGCCTAGAGCTTAAACGGATTTCTTTTTTCTTAAAAACGGCAGCAAATTTTTCTACGAAAATTTCCATATATTACGAGATTTTACTCCTCTAATATTTTAAAAGTAATATTTCGAGTCTCCCATTAGGAAACCGAAAAATTGAGAAGACTAAAAAAAGAAATGTGTTTTGGCCAGCAATGGATGGTAGCTGGGAAGAGGATAGGGGCAAGACCATCAAAGTAGCTCACACCAAGGAAATTAGAAATCTTTAGAAGATAAAGTCTTTCTATACCACCACTAGTTGTTTTTGGCCAGTATGTATGCAACATTTTGGAAAACCAGTTGCTGCTGTAGACCACTAGTGAAATACTTCTTGCGTTAGTAATGAAATTATGGTTCTCCAAAATAGAACTGAATTTTCAAGATAATGAAAGATGGCATAAAATATTGAACAAATTGTCACAGTTTTAGAATGAAAGTAATAAAATGCATCTTCTTTTGGTCAGTGAATAACAATGCTAATAAACTTATCTATTCTATTACATATTCATTTCATTCAAGCCCTTCTTGGTTGTAATCAAAGTTCTTGTTGATTGGTATATTGATTCTAAAAATTAAAATTTACAGATTTAAATGGATCAGTAGTTAAATTTATCAAATAATATTTTGTGTTCACAGGCATGCCAGGGAATGAAGTAAAGGATTTACCTCTTGAGCAACTTCATGTCAACTTTGAGCAGTTTTGTGCAATTGTTGCAGAATTCAAGAGTTGTGAAAGTGAGGCTCGCAAACTATGGCAGTTAGTTCTAGCCAAAACCACACGCCTTGTGCAGGCAATTGTCTCGCCTTTGACTAAAGTTCTAGGTAGTACTTCTTTTGCCCTCCCTCTAATGGGAAACTGCATACTCCATATTGAATGTTATAACAGTATAATCAGATGCTTTTAATATTCTTTTCATCTCTTTTGATCATTCTAATATGATTTTAGTGATTTGTTATTTACTTATTAAAATAAACCTTCACTACATAACTTGATCTTCAGCATGTGTTATTGAGAAAATTGTCTTTATTATGTTAAATATCAGCCTCATGTTCTCCACCTTTTTGATTTCCTTATGATTCATTATTTGCTTTTCCCCTTGCAAGTATAAAATCCTAGTTTAAGACTATTTAGAAGCCTTTATTGAATTTCTTGTTACCCTTGTTTCATTTTAAAATCCATTCAGTTATTTTAAAAGCTTTAAGTAATTTCATGCTTTTTTATCCTTGTAAATACACAATTCCTATACCGAGTGCAATTCTAGTTTGGATGCTATGACCTTTTTACCTTCTTGCTAGTTTCCTCTGATACAAAATTTGTTAATGCACATTTTGGTCCCATTCAATGTTATTTTCCTTTACCATGCTTGTTTAACTGTAATTTCATGGTTTGTTATGACAATTGGCTGCAGTAGGTGTTTGGTTTTGTGCTTGAAATTTTTATGTTGATAATATTGTTTCTGCAAGTAGTTTCTTCTTTTTAATTTTCTTTTATTGAGACATTTATTGTGTTCAAGAAACTTCTCAAGTATTCCACATTTTCTATTCTGTGTGATACTGAGTTATTTATTTTTTATTTTGATGTATGTATAATGATGATTGTGAAAATATATATGTATAATGTGGGATTTCTTTTTTAATTTAATTTTAAAATTTATTTGAATACATACTTACAACTAAGTATGACTTCGACAGAAAATATCAAGGGAGTGCAGTATTCCCCTATAAATATTTTTTAAAAAAAGTATTAAATAAATAGTTAGAAAAATAATTTTTTTAAATGTATTTTCATTCAATTTGAGATTTGTTTGAAATGTGAAAATAATATTGCCACTGCATATTTATTACCCAATTAGGTGCATGCATAAAGCATTCACAATTTATTATTATACATTTTGCTGAAGTGATAAAATAAAATGGCTGAAAGTAACTGAATTTACCTTGTTTTCTCTTTAGAATGGGCAATATCTCCAAGACCCTTGAGATCTTTACAATTAGGTGCTCCCCCAAATTGCCAGAGTAATTGTGTACGTGATGTTTATCTTGGAGGATCTTGTCGTGCATCTACCTGGCGTGAGGACATTGCCATTCCAATGCTCAAGTAAGTATTTGAACAAAAGCTTCAAAGCTAAGATGATAATAGTAAGCTTTTGTATCTTCAAAATCTTTCTTTGTTATAGAAAAAGTGGTTTGACGTACTTCAACCCACAACTTTGCTCTTGGAGCAAACGTTTAATTCCTATTGAGGCAGCTGCAATGGATAATAGTTATGTTCTCTTATTTGTTATATCTAATACATCGCGATCACTGGCATCTATGGCCGTGGTAAATATAATATTAAATCTTACTGTACTAAATTACTACTATACAAATTTTGCTTCTGTTAAAATTCACTATATCTTGTTATTCCTTCAGGCAGCTCATTACATCGGATTGGGCTGCAATGTGGTTTTGTGTGTGCAACAGCTCCTGGACGACTGCATTCTGGGGAGTGATAAGGTGAATACTCTTTAAAATTGTTATTTTCCAGTTCTTTTCTTTAATAAACAGAATTCATTGCTCACACAAATATTCCTTTATTGGATATGAAGGAACTCTGATAAGATATCAGAACAACAAGGAACAGGAATATCAATTAATAAAAAAAAATTGTGTTAAAATAAAGTAGGTACTCATGTTTCAGAAATTGCAATACTGTAGAGTGAAGTGGATGTTTGCTAATTCAGTTGCCTATTTAATAAAATATAATATATTATTTTTGGTTGCTGACAGAAAAATATTGTGGAAATAAGCTTTTAAAAAATAAAAAAAATTGAGATAGGATCTGCAATAGAAACCAGAAGAGGCACCTTTAATTTAAGAAATATATCTAGTATTTTGAACATCATTTTCTTTTAGAGGGGGGGGGGGAGTAGATATGAAATATTAGCTTCTTTATCTTCTGTTCTGTTCTGTTGCAGCTGTCAAAGCAAGCGGTTAAAGATTATAATCGTGGCCGAATGTACCTGTCAGATCTGGCAAACCGTGAAGGTGTGCCTGTATTTGAGTCTGTGAGCGAGAGTGTAGAATGTGTAATTCAGAAGTGTAATAGCCGATAGCTTAGAAACAATTTGTTTTCTCTTTTCTACTGCTTGGATTATGAGACTTGGTTGAATTGTGATGTTTGTGCTGGTAGGTATTTTTTAATTGTCGTGTATGATATGAGCTACAGTCCACTTGGAAAGTTATTTCTAGGAGACAGTGATGTTTCACACTATTTGCTTTAATCAACTACATTGCCAACAATAATTATACTTATTGTAGGTGCTTGCTTGTTACTTTTTATAATTTTTAATCCTTTAAATTCAATTAATGTATTTTTTTAAAACTTGGTTAAAAACGATCAATTATTTTAAAATTAACCAAAAATGATCAAATTTTACTTATTATTGGTGAGATTTTACTGTAATCAGAAAAATTCACTTTTCCGAATTTTGGCCTTGTATTAAATACTTTGATTTAAATTGAGTGGATTCTGACAATGATCAGATGGATGTATTAATCAAATCAGGAGCTTCGTTAGGATTTAAATTTTGGTTTCCCGAAATCAAGCTCCCGATTGGATAACCATGTCACAGCTGATTATTGGTCAAATGTCACTTTTAATCACAATATAATATCAAACACTTAAAAGATTCATGTAAGTGTGGAAAGTGCATAAATTTTGAATAATGGGATGGGGAAGACATGAGTTTAATAAACAATATAAAACATTAGGTTCAGTAATGAAGGCTCCATAAAACAAGGATTAATTTATGAACTTAACTGAGCATATTTTCATGGACTCCACACTTCATGCATGTCTAAACAATCCTAATTTTGTTATATTATTTCAAGAGAAAGTAAGAAAATCAGATGAATGACAATGTAGTCATAAATGGTTATTTAATAGCAGCAATAAAACACCTTCATTGTAATCGTTAATCTTGGGTGTACAACTTTGTTGACAATTTCTTTTTATGGAATATTTAAGAAATTGTTGTACATTAACCATACAAATAATGTTTCAGATTTGGGCTATTACACATTAAATGTTATTCCATTTATTAAATCTTTAAACACACAATTTTATCCTGAATTAAACTTGTAGAGACAAGTAAAACAGGGAACGAACTAAACATTTTTTAAATCTTAATTCGAGGTAAAATGCCCTGATCGTACAAGTTATTGTTCAATTTAGCTTATCACGAGTGCTGCCTGCGAAAATATGGAAGTCTTCAAAATGCCTTTTGAATAATTATACGATGGTTAATTTAATTCTTAGGTTATTAATCCTCCTTTTGATAAAAGAAAAAGAAAAAAAAATACAACAAAATGCTCATTGTGAGATCTTGATATTTAACATAACTAGTCATATTATTAACATTTACTTCATTCTATTTTCATGTCAAATTGCATAAAAAATGCCCAACTGTTAACAAGCTGAAACATTTTGTAAGGATATATAATGATTTGTATTTTCCTTTGCATTGCTATGCAATGTATTATTCTGTATAAAGGATATGACAAGTTTGCAACTGATGTTGCAGTTGTAAATACATACAGTTTTATACACATTTGGTAAAGCAATTGATTGTTGGCAATGGAAGTTGTAACAGTCAAGGATGAAGTAAAAACTGTGCTAAGTGTGATATTCAGGTTCTAATGCAACTACCTCTGAGAAGCTAAAAGAAATTAGAGGAACAATCATAAGAATGGTAGTGTGATGGTGAACATTTGAAGATGAACTCTCTGAGAGACTAAGTTCCTGTGATAACTGGAAGTGGCGCAAGCACATTGTCCTGTTCTTCCTCTTCTCTTAACTGTAGAAGGCATTCTCTAGCACACAAGAATGCATGAATTCAAGTACCTGACATAGTGAACAAGTGGATTATTGAATGTACTTACAGACTTTTGCATTTATAACGTTATAAGTGTCATAAATATGAATGTGAGTAGAAGTAGCATTATCTTTCCTTAAATCTTCATACATTTCAAAACTTTTATTTTATATACAATGTACATACAAATAAGTGCAATCAGACTTTATTACTTTCCATTCACTGATTGGTAGACCTATTTAGTAGTCAAAATTAATCTCTTTCCCCATTGGCCATGGTAAAAAAGAAGGCAGCAATTTTCTGGGAACAGAAAAAAAATTAATGTAATAACTGGTTCATGTTTAATAACCGACTGACTTGGTTTGAGCAATTTTTAATTTTTTAATCACTATGTAATTTTAAAATAAGCAATACATCACAAATATTTAAACACTGTTACAGAAGTACTTGCTTCTTGAGCAAAAGCAAGGAACTAGAGTATGCTGAGAATCCTATTTCATGTGAAGGCTTGAGTGTAAAGTAACTGAAACCAAGTCATAAAACTCAGTGGACCATAGCCAGAACTACATACTGAAAGGCAGCTAATTAGATTTAATGTATACATTCTGGTATTTTTAATATTAATTTATTGCTAGATTGTAATTAAATGCTTCTGTTTCTCAAATTGTAATTCACAGCCAGCCTTAAGAGAGCTACCATGGCAGCTACCGGAATAACTGATGTCTGGAAACATTCAGGACTCTACAATTAATTCTGTATTTTTTATTGATCATGGATTTTAAGAGTACTTTATTTAAGGCTGGCTCTGTCATACACAGAATAATGCTTGAGTGCAGTTGCAGTACACATGCAAAGCTCAACTAAAGCATCAGCCAAAAGATAAAAAGTTCCCCTATATACACCTTTCAAAAATGAACATTCTCTTACATTGTCTAACAGTTTGAAACATGCAGATTTTTTTTCTGCTTTGGCTAACACTTTTGTTGAGCTCTGGCATGTTTTGTTTTTGACTCACACCAGAATATTTATTCAATTGTTCAATAAACTACTAAATGTATTTTTTCCATACTTGTTTTTTTCTCCTTTGACCAAGAATTTCATTACAATCCTCAATAGTGATTCATCCAGCAAGAGGATTTGCATGGATTGTAATATTATTTATTCTAGTCTCGGTCAATGGCTTGTAATTTTTAGGGTTCACCGGTAACTTCTCTAATTCATCTAATGTATCGAATCCATCAATAACCCTGTTAAAAAAAAAAAAAACAAAAAACAAAAAAACATAAAGAAAAAGTACGGACTACAAAACTACAATTTCTAATTTATGAGAACTTACTTTCCAAACACTGTGTATTTCAAATCTAGGTGGGGATGTGCAGCATAAGTGACAAAGAACTGACTAGCATTAGTATTTGGGCCATTATTAGCCATTGATACAGTCCCTCGTGCACTATGCTGAAAATATAATTTGCAAGTAGAATAAAATAAAAATTATTAGAATCTTTTTCATATAATCAAATATCAATTTAAATTTTACCTTCAAGTCCTCTTTGAATTCATCTTCAAATTTCTTCCCCCAAATAGAATTTCCTCCTTTGCCTGTGTGTGTGGGGTCACCAGTCTGAACAATGAATCCTTTGATGTTTCGATGAAATAAACAACCATTATAGTAATCACTAGCACATAACGCCAGAAAATTCTGGAAAAGATTTTCATTTGTCATACAAAAATTAAACAAATCTCACTAAATACATATCTTACTTGAAACTTGTTTTAACAATTTCCCTTCACAATTAAATTGCTAAAATATCTAAATTATATATATAAATATAGGCTAAGTAGAATAATGGCCATTAATTCATAATTAATTTCATCCTTTTTATACAATAGAATGATTCATTAAAATTTTGCATTAATTGTCCATTCTTAAATAATAAGGGGCCCTGCCCATGAGCATAGCGTTGAACACGTTAAGTAACATGCGTCGTAAAATAACACTGCAAAACGGCACAAGTGCTTTGGCGGTTCTGAATAACATAGTGTTAAGGCCCATTCACAATGTTAACATAAAAGTTAGGATATGTCCATAAGCACATTCACAATGCGTTCGCAAAAGCATAGCAAGTATGACATTAAACTTTATTAAGTTAATCTCTCAACACACACTAAATAATAAAACACATCAACCAAACACAAATTGTAAATTCCATATTTTTATATGAAACCACCCCCTCTGAAATTTTTAAAATCATTGGACAAACGGAGAATAAATTCTCAGTAGGCACTTTACAACAAACAACAAACTAGGCAATGTTATTAAAGACAAACACCATTCATACATTTAAAAGTATAATTGAAAGCTTTCCTGCTTAACAAAATGTGTTCTATAGGGTAAAAGAGTATTCAAATTACAACATTAGAAAAAATTGTCGATGATTTCAACATCGACAGTCTGATAAACCGGAGAGAAATTTCGGATCTTATGTTTTTTTATAAGACTATCAATGGACAAATTGATTGCCCAGAGATATTGGAACAATTCCAATTCATATGCCCAAAACCAGGTTTGAGATCGTATAGGTTATTGAATGCAGTGAAATCGTCGAAAAACTACATATGTCGAGGCCCTAAAAACAGGATAGTTAGCCTGGTAAATAAGTACTGTTCAGAAATCAATTTTTTTGGAGGTTCTACATCTACATTTTTATCAAAGATGAAAAACATTAAATTTGATAGATAAAGTATTGTATTTCTACAGATTACTGTATTCATTCAGTGTGCAATTAATTAATATATTATAACTGCAAATTGTATTATAACATAATTGGATAAAGCCGATTGGCGTAAATAAATAAAATAAATTTAAAAAAAACAAACATTTCCATTAAAAAATCTAAATAAATAATAATTCCTTATCCCATTAGACTTTCTGTTTCATGTTAACTGTTTTGAGCTGAAGCAAAGAAAAATGAACTAGCATATCACATCCTGTGAAATAGAAGGAAAATGCCTGACAAAAAACAAAAATTCTGCTTCTCTCTCGATTCGCTAGATGCATTAGGTGCTGAAGTAGGACTATGTGAACAAATTGAAAGAAGAAAATAGAAAAAAAAACTTGCCACCTCCTCTTCACCATTTCAAGTTTTAAATATAGAATGTACTAATATTGTTAAATTTTATGTTAATTATTATTATTATTATTATTTATTATTATACTGGTAGTGGTGGTAGTCGTAGCAGTAGTAGAGGTAGGAGTAGGAGTAGCAGTATTAATATAACATCCTGAAATGTTAAATTATCTGCTACTAAAAATAATTATCTACTGTATAATATCCTACTCTATCTGTAGCATTATTGTAGTTTAATTTCTAGGTCAATGACCCCATCTCGATTGGGTTTTGTTCAGTTTCCCTGGTCCCTTGTTTGCTCCTGAACAGTAATGTACCTTCGCTCTCTCCACCCAAGACATCATATTGACTCGTCATACACGATTGTAATTGTATATGTGACTCAATAAATATTAATATTATTATTTAAAGCTCCAGTGCTTATGCTTCCGACAAAAGAAATGTACGAATCACAGTACGTTAACTCAAAATCGAGAATAGAAATAGGGGCGAAAGCGATTAACGAACTAACGCCAATGGGCCATGGATACAGTCGATTCTTTCGATACAGTTCGAATATATTCTCTCATCTAACCAATAGTAACTCCTATCTTGCCACGTTTATGCGAGACATTGTGAATACTTCAGTCTATCACTTATGTTAATGTTGACGACTATGCGTTATGCTTATGTTTACAATGTAATGGGCCTTAAATCTACGACATGCATATCTTATCGCGCGTCAACGCAACGCTCATGTGACACAGGTCCATGTGGAAATAAAATGCCATTAAAACGATAGCACATATTTAAATAAAAGTTTTTTTCCTTATTGAGTAAGAACAGACATACGAAATCATTTTATTTTCTGGGCACGTGCAATATTCCGTGATTATTCCATATCCGTTCCTTCACGCTAAGACTATTTACCGCTCCGAAACAAGACTTTTTTTTTTGCAATTACGAAACTTTTGATGTCATGTCTTGAAAGAGGAAATATTACTAAAGAGGAAGACAAGGAAAGGATAATTGTTACACTAGAAAAAAAATCGCAGTTTTCCCCACTGCGTAAGCGGTTGCGAGAAAGTAAAAATAATCGTTTTTGTATATTAATAGCTGAATATAATAACAAGCATTCCTTTAAAAATCTAGTCTCTCCTTACTGACATAATTTTACTTCGAAAATATTTTATGTCGTCACTTGACAGAATTTCCTTTAATAAAACAATTTCTACAAATCTCACCTCACATGACTTGGGGCAATATTCACAAAATAATTCAATCTTCAAGTCACCAATATCAGTATGAAGAGTAACAGCCTGAAAAGGTCATGATTTATTAGTATTATTTACTTTTTAAGCATACAGCAGGAATATCAATTTTGGAGAAAATGTCTGAACGGTTTAGCCGCTAGCGTTGTTCACAGACAGACAATCGATTTTTCGGCATCGAGGACCCACAAAATATGGATTCTGGCAACATCACGTGTTAAGAGGATTCTCCCCCCCCCCCCAAAAAAAAATTAGCAACTGCGTTTATCCACTTTTTCGTTATCAGGGCTCAATAATAGTTTCTCTGGCCGAAAATGCGCCGTTTCTTCAGCATTACATAACTTTCTCTCTACTGCCTAAGCGGTGGCGGGAAAGTAAAAATGGAGCAGTTTTTGAGAAAAAATGAAAATGTCATGTCAAGGCTTCACGTAAAATACACCCAAAAATTAAAATATCGGTTTCAAATTCAAAGGATCAGAGGTGTCCAACTTGCAAGGCCTTAAGGACAACCAACACCTTTAATATGGTTGCGGGCCCTATTTCCACACCTGATGACCCCGCACTGTTGATCTCGACAGTTTGCGCCGCTGCTCTGAAACGAAGGGGGGGGGTGGTGGATGGCACCACGCACGGTATCTGGGCATACCATGCATTCACTAGGATGAATTTGAATCTAAGCAACCGATTTTCACACGAAGGGCGTGATGGAAGGGCCTGCCAGAGCGCGTGCGCTGGGCGCCCAATGTCGCCTGATGGAAGCGTGGGACTTCCCCTCTCACGCCTTTTAATACCGTTAATACGTATTGGGGGATATATTACATGACACCTCTTGTACACTTTCACAATTTTCTCAAAAATGTCTCCAGATTTTACCCCTTTCCATTTCTTGTAAGAATATAGTAAAATGCAACAACAGTCGATTCCGGTAATAGTGAATTTCTGAGTTCAAACATTTTTAGTTCACTATATTCGATGTCAAAATTTAATATAATTTTTCCATAACGATTGATTTGATTAATATAGAGATACAGTAAAACACAAAAACAGCACGATCTGAAAATTTGAATATCTTCATTTGTCCTTAAAAAACATTTTCAATTGTTTCCTTCGACATTTTTCATTAGTAATTTCTCTAGTTAGTGTTCTCTCCATTCTTGATTCTGCATTGTCCTGTGTGTCCAAGTATCGTAATGTAGTCTTGACACCCTTCAACGCCTCTTCCACTCTCCGGAAGCCATCTTCCACGCGGCGCAGCGTTGCGTTTCCTGTCGCTACGCAACGCGCTTTGGCTCGCGGAAAATCAAGGAACACCATCGCGCGCCGCCAGTTGTAACACACGGGACAAAACCTTTGTTTCCGCAGTGAAAATGAAAGGCTCAAGGTCGTCCATCTATAAGGCTCCATTCCATTCCATTCCGAGTCCGCTACCTTCACCCCACGGGACACTTCGAGTATGACCTTTGGCCGACGATATATTTTTAAAGTACCTAGTGTTGGAATTTGTGACATTGAGGCGATATATTATTTTTCAGGAGGGAATCAATTTCCAGAATGTAGTTCCTACGTTCACTATAGCCGAGGTTCAGGTTCACTATAACCAGAGTCGACTGTATAAAGGTTGCATAAGTGCTATTTTTTACTGTTAAGGGACAACTTAACGCAAATTTGGAGTATTTTCAATACCCCCTCTCCAATTTGTAACGCATCTGTAACCCCCCTCCCTTTCAACGCAAAAGTGAAAATTAATAAGGCAGTCAAAAAAGTTTGTATTGTTTTACTTGTGTTGCATATTACAATTAACGATAATCAAAGTAGACATTAGTTGGCGATGCTGACTAACAATACGATTGGAGCAAGTTGTGAGTGAAGGGACGCAGAGGCGAGATAATTTACATGTAATCACTTTAATTCATTTATGTTCTTAAAACAAATTAATTCGTTAATATTATGTTTTACTACAAGATCCGAAAAAAAAATTATATAAGAAAATGTTGGATGCAAAAAAATAAATGTTAATGTTACATAACATAACTAATACCCCCTTGAAAACTCAAATGTTTTCTGCGAAAAGGAGTTCAAATTTCCACATTTTGAAATACGCTCAAACACAGTTTTCCTAAAACTACTCCAAATTTTTTCTTTCAACTTTTTGTAAGGATAGTGCTAAATGCATCTTTGATATTACATAGTAGCAATTTGGCAGTTAAAAAAAAATCTTTCATGCTGCTAATAAACACATTTCTAGCGATTTGTACACATCACTGTATTTGTGAGTGGAAGTCCTTTAAATGACTTCCGATGAATTTTTTTGAAAACTCAAAAGTTTTCTGTGAAAGAGCGTCAAACTTTACATTTACATTAACACTTAAACTCTTTTCTTTAACTTTTGACTGCCACTTATCTTAAAAATATGCTGCCAGGCCATGCCTGTTTTTCTGCTACTCTAAAAAGCATAACTTGTGCATCACAACCACATGGTGGGAAAAATCTGTATTATACACATCTTTAATTATTATACATCTATAGTTAAGTAATATTTTAATTCTAGATAAACGGCAGCTGTCAAGATCGTAAAGTTGGCCCAGATCAAAGAAATTAGCAAACTAACTAGTACAAGAAGTCAATGCAATTCTGTAGCACCACAAGTTGCTTTATAATGTTCTACTGAAAGTCATTTAAACAACAACTGTAAAATTGGAAACAATTTAAATAAGAAAGCATAAAGTTTGAGCATAAAACATGACTAAGTCGCTGAAAACATTCTCAAGAATCATTAAAGAAATGAGTACATGCCAAGTGGGGAAATGGAGGGGGGGGAATGAAACTGCACTCTTTCAAAAAGATGCCCTAACTGAAGGCATTACATTGTATAAAAATATCCCTAATGAATGTAAACAAATCTAAATTCAAAACACATTTAAAAATAAATTGAAAATGGTTGAACATTCACTAGTGCAAAGGAATATGAAAAGAAACACGAAAGGAATTTACAAAAGAAATGAATATATTTGTTCAGATAGAAAATGAATCTAGAAATAGAAAAGCAGTTCAGTTGTGTAAATTGGGCACTTCCTTATTTGTGGTTAATTTTTGTTTTTGAATATATTCATTTCTTTTGTAAATAATAAACAATTTACATGTATTTGGAGTGCTTTTATAATGCAAATTTGTGCTTAGAAATACCCTTTGTAAACCAACTTTTGAATGCTTATTGCAGCTCAAGCATTCAGAATATCCATGTAGTTTATTAGACAAGTTTAAAATTGTCTTAAGAACTTATTTTTGAATTTTCGATGTTCTCTCTCCGGACAGTATGCATCATAATTACACATCTACACCAATACAAACTTCTAATACCTTTCTGTATTCTCTTCCACAATTGACTCCCCTAAAATGTTTGATGGACAGACATTTGAAATTAATCAGTACTCAGCTAAAAAGACTAATCAATTCCACGTGGAAAAAGTACAAAGCAACAAAGTATATAGAACAATATTTCATACAGGACTGCTCATGTTACATGCACATTTTACACAGGAGTGCATCACCACTGGAAATGAAGCAATTTGGATTAGTTGGAAAACTAGAGAGAGGGAGGGAGGGAAAGAGCCATCAGCTTGGAAAGTAATGGTTAGATATCTTGTTGAATCTCACTAAGAGGAATATGTATTCCAGTGAAAAATTTATTTAGCAGGAAGAAGAAATCGAGACCTGAAGAAGTGAGAAAAAGTTCAAGCCACAACAAAGGAGAGGAATTGCAATCAAAAACATAGTTGAACAAGGTGGCATATCTATAACAAAAACAATGATGAACACCACAGAAGTCGAACTCATTTAACAGTTTTTAGAATTTAGTTCTCCTGAAAGAACAATGACATTCTAGCATGAAAAAGAAGGGCATCACATGCCTTATCAGAGAATTTGGTGAACTTTCCAGATAAATTTGAAATGGGAAAACACACACACACACGCACAAGGGTAAAAAATTTACTTAACTTATAGAAATTTCTACCAAGTCCAAAATCATTCTTCAGAATTATTACTATATTCCTATTATCTATTTAATAATGATCAGTTCCTGGAATTGACTTTTATCCCTAGTGTAACATGAATGTAATGTAATGAAAATGGTATTGGATACATTGTTGTCATCATGCATCTCTTTTGTATTCGCACCTACACGCATTTATGCTTCTATTAAAATATAATTAACTCGCGGTACACCTAAAAAAGGTAGAATGGGTGAATAATTAAATATTTTATCACTATTTTAAATTAAATACAGATAGGTCGTATCTACGACAGGGCATTTTTTTAAATCAGAGGAAACAGTTGGACACATTTTAAAGGAAGGAAGGCTGATTTTTGAAAACCGTCAAACACAATAGTGAAGGTCAAGTTTGGAATGCCCAAGACATTTGTATTCAATGGACAAAACAGTAACCATCACGATAACTTACCATAGAAATTATTTCTATATACGTTACAAAAGACAATTGAAGCTTTGAGGAAATAACAAAAAGCAAACTCAAACCACTTTTTCAACAAAACGCAAATTGACATAACCCATACACCACCGTATATTCATGCACAATTTATTATCTCCCACTCGGAACTACATCTACCAGGTTACAACTCTTTGGTGTTCTTTGGCTTCAACCAACTTTTCAACATCAACAAAACGCCTTACCAACATGGCATGAACCGTTATTCTGTGCCGTTATTTTTCAGTCATACCAACAACGAGTTATCAACATTTTGAAGCAAAGTTCTCACGTCAATTTTTTGTGGTAGCAGAAAATATCTTTACTGCAGTATACCAGTAACTAACTGATTTAAAATAGAAGCAACGGAGCTCGTGTGGTTTGCCAAAGGACTTTCAAGAAGAACAGAAGCTTAAAATTTGCAAAATATTGCCTGTGACTTATGGTTGAATTCTTAAAGCACAGTGCGTACATTGCTGTACTGAAACGTGTCCTTTTGACTAACACGGATGGTTATAGATTTTTAAATCAAAATTAATTTTAAAAATATATGATTTATTGCAGACAATAGAAATATCGGGAGTGTTTTCTCTCCGATAGTCGATCCTTGCTAAGTGACGTCATTGTATTGATCGCGGAAGGGACATCGTCGCATCGCCATCTTGCAGCGAGTGAAAAAGAGATTGTGAAGAAAAGAAAATTGGAATCCGTAGCCATCTGGCAGTATTTTCAGTCTTGGGGATTAATTTCCATTTGTCTCTGGCTAACCCATTTGGACGGACCAAGGTAACGTCTTCCGAATCATTTTTCTTGTGTATGAAAGCACAGAATAACATGGGAGATTTTGCCGTATATGTAACTTCGAAAACAATTATATTCTTAATTATTGGAGATGTTATATAAGTATTCAGAAACGCAGAAAAATCCTAGCAGGGTGTTTGTGTTGTGATGTAAAATAGGCTTACGACCTCTTGAATTCAGTGGTTTCTGTGATCCGTGGCCTTTGTCAAGGCGAACGAGGGGTGTAGATCCTGGCCTTTTGTTCCGGATTCGAAATAGTTTCGGTTTTAATTTGTAAAATTAGAGTCTTCGTGCATTCGAGAGGTCGTTTAAAAGCTTTTTTTATTGCTCCTATAGGAATTGTGCTTGTAGTGCTTCATTTTTGTCACTGTTGTGACAAGTGACAGGTGATACAAGAACAATGATGTGACTCCAGGTACATTTACTTTCAACACATAGTGTACTAGTGAAACTTTTGTGTTATTTGAATTTTTATAATAATAATATCTTTATGTAATGTAGTAATTGCACTTTTGCTTGTATGTGCTCTTTCCTGTCAAGGTATTAAAATATTGAAGACTAAATTTGCTGGTTGTGTTACTTTGGTTTTATATGAATCTCCTTGTTTACTGAAATGTTTTTGTTTCCTAGGTAGAGTTTGTGAGGTGTAGTTGGTGTTGGTTCTTGGGAATTGCTGAGTTGTTGAGTGAAAATTATACTATACTTCATATGACATTGTTTTGTATGACTTGAGGGACTTCTCAGAATTTTTTACTTTTAATTGTTTGTGTTGTTAGCTTTAAACTGTTTTAAAATGTGTGTCAGTACTTGAGAAAATTGTCTGTAAATGTTTGCCTTGTAAATTTGCAGATATAGGGTTCGTTCCACGGGTCTGTTTTTTCTAAATGGTTGCCTGGAGACAGCATGTCTACTCTGTCGGGGATTGCATCGAAGGGGGAGAAAGGAAGGTCCAAGTTCCAGTCGCTAGATATAAATAGCTTGTATCGGGTGAGTCTGTTATGTGCAATATATGATTTTTTGTGCCTTCTAGATTGATTAACTTTATATGTAAAGACAAAGAAAGTTAAAAACTCAGTAACCTTTAATTTTTCAATGCAAAACCTGAAAATTGCTTAACTAACATAAGGTTGTCTGACTTGGGTTGCCATTAGATGTTATGTGGCTTTAATCATCCAAATATTTTTTAAAACATTTTAACAATAAAATTTCTGGAAATGTTTATTTAAAATTACAAAATTAGTAACATTTCTTCAAAATACTGTGACACTCATTTCCATTTGTTGAAGTGAATTCAATATTTAGCTTTTAATATTTGCTTAAATCAAAAATGCCAAATTTTTACTTTACAATTAAATGAAATTCTTCAAAAGTGAATGTTTTCTGTAACACTCAAGGAGTTTTTATCTTGATAATAGTACTAACCTTAAAAATACACATTGTGCATGGAATGGGTGTTTTAAAATTATTTATACCACAAAGTCTGAGGAAAATGTGATGGGAATAGTTACGTTATGTTTTTATAGTCCTTAATCTGTATGCTGCCAGAAAGAGGATTTTTTCATCAAAGAATAGTATTTCTAAATATGAAAATTATGTCAAAAAGTAGGTGTTTTTCCTGTAGAAACTGTTTTTGTTGTGACAGAAAGAAAGATAAGTAAAATAATTTCTCAACATATCCCAAAATCTCTTTGCATGTGCTTCATGAAGCTTAATTCTGTTCTGGAAAAAGCTTTGTGGCATCATGCAGGTGCTCCTTTGACAGATCATTGTGGTGAAAATTGCTTGGAGCCAAGTGATGACTGCACAGGAATTGCGTTCAACTCTTGTGCAATTTCATTAAGAAGGATTCCAAAGTATAATCTTCAATCAATTGTTAAGTTGGTCATTCTGTGTTGCAGACCGATACATGTCCATTGTTTAAGCAACTTATGTACTCATAAATTTTGTTTGCTAGATATCTTTCGCCGTATTGTTGCTGCTTTCTGTGAATAATCCCTGCAGGCCTAATGCCTTTAAAGAAAACATAATACTTCCCTTGTTTCTTTCTTGGTGCACATGGACATTAATGCACTTGTAATGAAATGTGCTGAAGTCACTAGAAAGAAAGCGAACCAAAACAATAATGCTCAAGAAAAATTTGAGGCTATGATGGCATGGTACAGTTAGTTGTGCTAATAACTGGATCCTAGAAAATAAAATTTGCCTTTACCTTCTGACTTCCTTGCATAGTTGGCACATGTGTAAAAAGAAGCAAATTATGAAGTTTTTTAGAACATTTCTTGTAGCATGTTCATTGTTATTTTAATTGTATCTAATACATTTGGCAGGCAAAGGTGAATTTAAGATGCTTAGAAAAAATAATTGGTTTGAATATTAATTTTGTAAATTTACATTGAGTCTATTTTTTAGGGAGAATCTTTGGAACCATCTCAACAGAAGAGCACAATACCCCGCAGACATGGCATGCAGTGTTTGGGAAAAGTGCCCTCAGCACGAAGACCTCCAGCAAATTTGCCAAGTTTGAAGAGTGAACATAGCGGCAACGATCCAGCTGTTAGTTTAGTTCCTAGTGGTGGTACAGGATGGGGCAGCAAACCAGGAGAAACCACAGGCCCGGCAGCCACCACCTCACAGCCACACACCACAGTATGTTTTCTTTTCTTTCGATCTTTTTTGTGTGTCTATATTGAATTCTCTCTTTATGAAAAGCGAAACTATTTGTTGTCATTTGACTGAATATGTTTTCCTTTTTTTGTGTAATTCAGCCTCCGGCAGCCAATATACCGGTTGTTGCGCCTCAACCACCCGTCGTTGCACCAGTAATTCCAGGTGCTGTAACTGCAACCCCTTCCGCTGCAAATCCCCCAGCACCAAGTCAGGGACCTCCACCTGTGATGCAGGTAATTGTTAAAAGAACAGTTCTGACTTACGAGAGATCACGAGAAAAGACTGACCTTGAGTTCCATTAGCTGACCTGAAAAGTATTTTATGTTAGTATTGAGAATATAGGATTCTTTCATGATCCACTAAATTCTATTCATTATTAATTTTTATGTTCTGTCACAAGTTTTCCGTTTTACTTTCTTATATACGTATGTATATACAGAGTTAATATGCATACTATAGAGAAAGTTATGTCATTCTGCAGAACATCGCATCGAGAACAAAGATATCTATTGTCTGTATTGTAGTTTTGCAATTTTAATCAACAAATTCTGAAAATAATGTTCACTGGAAATGGGTTCTGCACAATTTTATAAACGTACTTTGCTCTATTGAGGAAAAAATTTAAAGAAACATTTTGATTAGTTTTTTCAAGAAAATCCTGTCGAAAAATTGTGCATGACCTTATTTAAAGAACTAACATTGAAGAACACATTATATCAAGGGAAAACAATTCTACATCTCTAGTATTTTAGTTGTGGGTCATGTTGAAAAAAAATTGAACTTTTGTAATTTTTGAAAATTCAGTGTTCAAGTCTGAGAATGAGAACTGTGCCATTTTTGAGGAAATTATGGAAATGTAGCTTTATGTAAAGTATCCGCAAAAATCATAATATATGTATCAAATTTGCTGGGTATGTTCGGCCTGATCAATTAGTGAATATCATCTGAATGATTTAAGGAGTAGTTTTGACCACAGGTAGACGTTTTGTCCAAATCCACTTTTTCGGTATCAAGGAGGTTTTTGAACAAATAATTTACACCACACGGGAGCAAGATTTATTCACATTTTTGACATTAGGAACACACAATAACCTTTTTCTGTCAAAGAGTCACCTCTTTCAACTGCTGCATTACATAGCTTGAATGGAGCAAAGGTTGTTTAATAATGTGGTGTCTATAAGATTATCATTAAACGCTTCTAAATTTTGAAGATGATGATAGAGATTTTCCACTTAACTGAAAATATATGTATATTTTTATCGTCAGCTGTATATCTATGTCTAGTTAAAAGTATACCAATGAAAGCCTGCTATAAAACACTAGTTTTCCACACACTGCAAAGTTAGTGAGTTTTTTTAAAATTCAAAGTATGAAGTGAAATAGTTTTTCTTCTCTACTATAAATTAAGGTTTTTTGACTTACTCTTATGATTGTCCTATAATGTGATGTTCAATGTTGAATGAAGCTTAGAGAGCTAGCTTAAAGTTGCTGATATCTGGTAGTGATAGTACTCGTAATGTTACACAAATGTTTGGTGCCTTTCCAATTCATTTATTGATTTTTTTCATTTCACATTCCGTGGTTTTGACTTTACATTGACTTACATCATAATAACTAGTTTCCTGTGTAAAAGAAAAAGCAATATATTATGCAAGTTAGCATCTAAAAGTAAAGTACAGTTTACAACGAGTTCTTTCCAGTGCAAGAATTAATTGAAGCAGGGGTTCATGAGCACATGAAGATATTGATATGGGTAATACAATTCTGCACGAAATTTTAGAACCAAATCAAGCTGGAATTAGAAAGTGTAAAAATTGAAACATTGAATTGCTTATTTTAAATTGTATTCCTGTTGTGAAGCCACATTAATTTTTAATATTCCCCTGTTGGCTTCCATCCTCAAAAGGATGGGAAGGCAAATGACCTTCAATGGTGTTCATGATTGCTGAAAACTTTCTATTCACCATGATTTCTTCTGTGAGACACTTACTAATAAGACAAGACTAATACCCAAAACAAGTACTACTCAACTAATCCAGTTCACAAATTCCGCGCACTGAAACAAGCCCAACTACAGCATATGTTTGCTACAGAGGCTGTGATAGGTTTTCCAGGCATCATATAACAATAGCTGGATTTGCTAATTTCTAACAATCAGTGAGGATAAACAATAAGACTAGTTCCGATCTGATGGTAACGTGTGGAATACCACAAGGTATTGGGCACCTTCAGTCTTCATAATATGTATAAATGATCTATATGAGGCTTTACTGTCAGGTAAAATGATCTTTTGCTGATGAGTCTAGTTTAATTGTGAGAGTGGGTGAAATTAATATTTATAATTGAACAAAAGTTAAAATTGATTACTAAATCGTTTTATAATTATTGTTTTACTATAAATGTGTTGTAAACTATTTGGTGTTTTCTGCTTATGGTAGTTAGATGGACAGTGTTGCCTAAGAGTCCACAAAATCAACTACTTAAATGATCAATGTAACTGTTAAACAGAGAGGGAGAAGTGCAAAATATTGAGGTATTTATACAGCCTGCAATTTAAAATGAAGATATATCATTGATATCTGGTAAATCGAGAAATCTTACCTTCATGTTCTACAACTTGAATACCAAACAATTGTTAATGATATATCATTCAATCTTTTGGTCTGTGACTGCATATAGAAAAGCATGGGCATGGGAAGAACTTTTGAAAATTATTTTTAACAAACTAGTAATATTCAAAAGGATATGGTGTAATTGATATTTAATAAACACATATTATTCTCCTTGGAAATGCTATGTAGAGGCAAAAATATAATATCAAATAGGAAATATTTGCTTGAAAAATCTATATTAAGTAATTTCTCCGATTTATGACATTTAATTAATTAGAAGTCAAAAGAATAAATTTAATTCCATTACCAGAAGTAAATGACTGTCACAAGTTCTAAGTATGAAGAATTCCTTATGTAAGCCACAAGGTTTTGAATTTGATTATATTTGATTTGAAAAGCACAAATATGAATAGGTTAATGGAAAAAGGAATATCCCAGGAAATGGTTGATCTACTTAGATAATTACAAAATTGAAAATATATTTAAAAATAATTGTAGCGAAACCCTTTATAAGAGACTCCTAGGAATTTTGTCCCTTATAAGCGGTTATTCTCATAAGTGGGAAATGATTTTTTGCTACATTTAATGAAATGTTACCAATTTTTCATGGATTAGTATGATTTATACTGTATTTTAAACTTGAGGAAACATAAATTACTTGATACCAGAGCCCATTTAGCCAATCATTAGTTTCAATGTACAACAAAATCCTATTGTAAAATAGATGAGATAATACTTATTTTGCTTGTATATGCCGCTTCTGTGTATATGCTGTACAATGGTGTCGGAGGTGAAGAATGAAGTACGTTTTCATGTGGGAACAGTGATGCAAAACATGGCGTCTGCTGTAATGTATGAATCAAAAGTTACTCTTGATGGTGACAAATCTTGCAATCTGACAGAGCGTTAGTTTAGCCTATTATGAGACTTCGATACACAGAAAAAGTTTCTGTATAGTTTATCACGCCCCCATGTTATCAGGAAAGTCATAAGATACCAGGAAGATTATGTCAAAATAATATCTAAAATTCAAGCCAACTACTAGCAGTTGCAAAAAGGCCAAGGCTCTTTTTCCTTTTTAACAATAGAGAAATAATATTTGATTACCAAACAAAACATTTAAAATTCCTGTTACGACAAAACAAGTCGGGCTCAAGGGAACTAACTGATTTGATTCACATGAAACCAAGCTGCCTCGCTCCAGGAGTGCGGTTCCCATTGGCCCTGAGTACAAATCCTATTTGAAAATATAATTATAGTTAAATAATTATAAACATTAATAACCTTTTGTTTTTCCCCAATATGGAACACTTAACTACTTTTGCACGTTACCATTGGTGGAACCATTCTAAATTAAGTTTGCAAAAAAAAAAAAATAAATAAATAAATAAAAATATTGTAAATTAATAAATATACCACAACCAAAAATCAAAATGAAGAAAATTAATTGAAATTATGTTTAACTTTCGCTTGATTAAAACCATAAGTCTCAATAACAAAACACAACTAAACCAGAACACTGAACTTTCTGAGCACAGTATGATAAGGCAATTGAAGCATGTGGCACCCCAGCTGTGACTGATCCAATGACTGAATGTATCCCTTCTACATAAAATAATCAATTCTAAAAAAAATTCACAACGATCTGTGGTTATTATGTGGATATCATGTATTCTACGTATTATATTTGAAATTTTAAAAATGGGTGATGTTTATTTACTGAAAAAGCCTTTAGAGCCCTGTACTTGATTCTTAACCTCGAAAGCGCTATAACGATCTTTGTCACAATAATTTTGGGAAAATATCTCGTGAACAAGCCGGACCAATTAATTTGATGTCACTTCGCCAAATTTTATTACACTTTTATCAGAACATGACACTTTGTTACTTCCAGTGCTGCGAACATGAACAACAGCTGTACCACATGGCCTGCATGTGTCCTGTATGTGTCTTCTGAAGCAGACATCTGCCCATTGTAGTTCCATTTAGTCTGCTCTGTTTTGCTCCTCTCCCGCTCCATGCTTGTTCGCCATTATCATTTTCGCTTAGACCTGGACTCTTCTGGATAATTGGGCCTAAAATTTTGTTTTTTCTTCCAATGACTTTATTATTATTATTATTATTATTATTATTATTGTTGTTGTTGTTGTTGTTAGTATTATTATTAATAATTTATTTTTAAGAAAATCTTGTGTCTAAGCTGCACCCATTTCTTGAGCATATGCAGTATCTGATGTTATTGTTCTTTGTATATAATACAACTACAGTTGCCCACATCCCCTGGTGTGAAGGTGGGGCTAGATTTTGGAGGCAAAAGTATATACAATATTTATAGGTCCTATGACTAGTGTTTACAATTGTTTACTGCTCTATTTACATGTACTCAGTCTTATAAAACTTCAAAAAAATTAAAATAGAAATTTCTTTATTTATCTGCTTTTTACAAGGATTTGTTTCCAGTAATTCCCTTTGGGCAAAATTGATTGTAGTCCTTGTAGAATCTGAAACGCTTTTTTTAAACAAAAAATTCACCTAAATCACGACCATCATACTGATTTTCTTAAAGGTCTGAAGTACATGATATGCCAGCAGTTAGAGCTTCTCCCTGCTTCCAAATCTCCCCATTCTTCCCTGTCAGTTTCTTCCTCTGGAAGAACTTTCATGTACATCATTCCAAGATTGAAATCATCTGTCTAATATTATCCAAGCATTTTTGCTGTTGCTATCTATATTCACAGGGGAAGTGCACGATGCCTTTGAAGCATTGAAGTTTTATAAACTTCCCTATCACTAGTTGCTTCAATTTCTCTGTACCCACAGTATTAGCACAAAGGAGAAGTGATAAACGTTCTTTATTTTTGGAACCTCCACTTCTCTCCTCTAAATGCAAAAGTTTTGTTTGGCCATATTGAAAAGAAAAGGCCTGTCTTTTAATGTTTATAGGTGAATTGCCTTTCCAACTTGTTCCAGACACTCACTATTACTTTCTCCACAAATATTTCGGTACACAATGCCACGTCTCTTCTTGAATTTATTGATCCAACCATTGAATGCAGAAAAGACTACAATTTCCAAGCACTGCAATTTCATGAGCCAACTCCCAAAAAAATTTCCCATCAATGGGCACCTATAGCTCTGTGCTGTTCAAACCATTCCAAAAGAATCTTTTCCACTTCGTTAAATGGAGATAAATGAGTCTTGTGTGTGTGTGTGTATCCATGTTCTCAAGGGCATTATGGATTTTCTCTTTTTTGGATAATTTATGCAAGCGACGAAATTGGTATGTTCAGTATTTTGCTACAGCTCTCAGAAATTGCCCTTAACATTTGTCCACTTCTTCAATTACATCCAACTTCTTAACTTGCGGTAAAGCCTTTTGTTTTGATGCCATCACTTGCAGATCCGGGGAAGGCAAAAACAAAACAAAAATGCCCCCCTTCCCAGTCGCCTCCTTCCCAACACCCCCTTCCCAACACCCCCTTCCCAACACCCCCTTCCCAACACCCCCTTCCCAACACCCCCTTCCCAACACTCCCTTCCCAACACCTCCTTCCCAACACCCCCTTCCCAACTCCCTCCTATTGGCACTGTTGTGGGAAATTTTGATCCTGACTGTTTTAAGCTTGTGTTCTGGCCCTTACTATGGTAACGAAATTCCCAAGTTACTTGGAGGAAAAGCAGATGCTTTTTCTCCTACAAATGGGAAGAAACACATCGCAGGGAGTTAAATCTTGTCTGCAAAAGATAGTACTCTTGTAAGGGGGTCTATTAAATGCACAAAATAAACGTATTAGATACAACTGACAGTAGTGTGGATTCTGTCTTCTATATGTGGGATTCTCGTATAACAGGGTTTTGCTGTAATTGGAATATAAAAATGATGTATGCATTCAGTCTCATAGTTCTTAACTTTTTGGTTGTATTTTATAATTTGTTCTTCATATTTTTTCTATATATTTGTATCTTACTTTATTCAAGTTTTTATTCTATTTAATTTTTTATTATTATTGTAGTTACGTGAATTACTTCACTTCTTTTATTGAAAAATGTGATGAACGATACAATGTCAATAGTTTGATACAGGTTCACACACAATCCTATGACTCTGTGAATGGATATTATATTACATGCTATATGGTACTTTAACTACTATATGGATTTTGTAAACAATGTTGTACCATTGTTTTTTTGTTCGAGTTGTAGGTGATGTTGAGAAAATTGTTTTGCTGAATAGACTCTTTTTATGAGTTTTGTGAATTTTTGAAACTTAGAAATTAATACTTCAACTACTTGCAAGTTAAGTTTTGCTGAGGTGATTTGTTAATATTTGTGTAATTTATGATTAATTAATATTTTGTAATTATTTTCAATTTGATTAATGGGTCACGTGAATACCAGTAGTGGAATGCTTATTCTAGAAACAATTGAAGTAAATTTTGAAGAATAAAACTTGAATACTGGCTTTTACTTTTTGTAAATAAGTTTTATTCACACTGCACCATGTACTGTTTTAATGTTGAATAAAATTAATTTTCGGCATTAACATTTCACTTTTGATTTTGCAGCAAACCGTTCACAGCGACAAGCTTTGGAGTTCTGTAATGGCAAGCCCAGGAGAAGGGGTTCATCCTCCAAGCTTCCTTGCACACCAGTCACCTCAGTTCCAGCAGGAATTCCCCAAATTGTCCAGTGGAGATGGACAGGCTCCAGCAACTGGACAGAAAGGTGGATCAGATACCCAGTACGGCCCCGGTCCAAGTCTGCGCCCCCAGAGTAAGTATAATATGCTTTTTTGTTTTTTTACCAATACACAAACAATTTGTCAGTTTGTGGAAAAAATTATTTTTGTATGTGACTTACAATTGTATTACGAATAAGTAGAGTAGGATTCAATTTACTGTTTATCAAACAAATTAAATCTAAAAATATAATAAAAGAAAGAAAACTACAAAAGATTTAGCTTTTGAATCTAAACTTTAAGCCTCTCATATTAACATACAATATGCCTCCAATAATTCTGCATTTGTATTTTCAATTTATATATTTTATTTATTTGTAATTTAACAAACAATTTATTACACTGTGTACATAAAGAACTGGTAAATCAAATAACATCTCAAACAAGCCACAATTAGTAAAAGCATTTGAAGTTCACTTAGTACAGTTCATATTATTACGTGTGTGTATGTATGTGTGTGTAATCATGGAAAACAAAACAAAAATTACAGGAATAGAAACATAAAGGAAATAATTTCATGTACAGCTCATATTTTGCTATAATATAAAAAATAAACAACACAAAAGAATGAAGTACTTTGATGTAAATAATAGGAATAAAAACAAAATTGTATCAAACATTAATTAAATATAATTTCCACTCCAAATATTGACTCTTCACATTATTGCTGAAAATTAATTCTGATTCACTATAGTTAGTAGTTCTGCACATTGTGTTAATTAGTGTTGCCAATAAGTTCTTTTACCGATAACGCAAAAAAATGGCTCAGTTGACCTTGAATGGAATGAAGGGCATTGCACTGTACTAATGAGAAATGGACAACCGATGTTGCGGTCGACTTATTTCCTGACAAGAACCAGTGCCACAAAGATCCTACATGATCTCCGAAATTTTATAATCACTTTTAAGCATTATGGAACCAATAATGAGTGTTTCTTGCATTTTTAATTTCCACATCAAAGCCAATTATTATGAATAAAACTTCGTTTTCTTCATTATTGCAATAGATACTAATGTAATATTATGTATAATGCTCTGATGTCAACTGAATTTGTAAGGGTTGAAATAAAATTAACACAATAGACTTTTTTGGATGCTTATTTGTTGTTTATATTAAATAAACTTTCAAATTATTAATGTGAATATAGAAATCGAAACTTTATTGGAAAATTGATGTTAAAATAAAAAAAAATAATTTGCTTTTGTGTTTATTGGTTTAGAAGCTATGACCTGTGGTGGAAAAAAGTTGGGCTGAGGCTACAACCTGAATGCATTATCCACTATAATTGACCACAATCACACGCAAATCAAGATATAATTCAATCAAGCTCAAGTGATTAGAAAGAATATCAAGGTGGTTTTAAATACTCATGATAATATGATGATGGAGAATGTCAAAGACTTTAGAAGTGTATAAAGTAAATTAATTGGTCATAATCTATCAAATGAGTTGTGATAAATTGTACATAAATATGTAAGTTTGAGAGTGGTGATCTTTCTTTAATAAAGTCATGTTAACAATGAGAAATGTAGGATTTAAAGGATGAATAAGGAGAATCATATATAAGGTTCTCTAGAATCTTCAAGAAATTACATAACAGGGAATTCAATTCACAGTAATTTTCAATCATTTCTTTATCACCTTTTTTAAAGAAGGAGCAAATCCTCTCTTGTAAATAATTTTGGGTGAAGTGGCTAAAGACAAGAAACATTCCTTAAGTAATATTGAGGGAACATCGTCTAATCAAAAGTCAATTTATGAGGAATTTTGTTTAGTTTATTAGAGATTAATTCAATGTCAACTAAAGAAACATAACAAAAAAGACCTTCAACACAATGGTCACAAGACCTGCCCAATGAATCGACTGAAGAAAATTGCTTCTCAAAGCATCATACAAAATTTTCCTCATTGACTTTTGGATCAGTGAAAGATCTACGATCGTAAGACCAGTATTTAAGAGAATCAAAGTTTGTCTTTATCGGAACATCTTCCTGATATGGAAGTTCGCCTCTATAGAATGCTATTTTTTGAACAATGTGCTGTACAAAAGCAGAGTATTTAATGATTTATAGTACCATTTTCAGCGGAAGGAAGCTGGATCCAGGGTGGTGGCCGGAATGCCGGTCAACCCCCAAACCAGATGCCTACTGGTGGGGCGAGTGGCAGTCACCAGGGGGCTGCTGCTGTCCCGGGCCCCCTTCCTCACATGCAGCCAGGTGTGTATTCATTAATTTGTGTATGTAGGGTCCACCTAAAAGTTCGGAATAGTAAATACAATGTTTCGATAAATTTAGGGAGCGATCCAACTGGCGGACGGAACAACTTGGGCCCATGTGTTGCCCCGGCAGGGGGTATGGGCCCGGGAGGCCCGGCTACTCAAGTACCGAACACGGGCGGTACAAACGTCCTTCCTGGGGTGGCTCCTGGTGGGACTATGATGCCTCATATGGCTCCAAACGCCCAACAACAGTTTTCTCGCAACATTATGTCACAATTTGTGAGTATAATTTGTTAGAGCTTTTGAAGTTTACTTGTTAATTATGTTTTGACACTTTACTACTGATTCTGCAGCAAATGTATCGAGGAGCATTTTCACCAAACTTTCAAGGTCCGATGCATGGCCCTGTACGTCCTTCACGATATCAATACCCGACTGAAAACAGGTATTTTAATTTAATTATTATTACTTTTATTTGTTAACTTTTAGCATGTGTGTGGCTAATGCTGTATTGCTTTTTCATTTCATAGGTTCATGGCAAGACCTGCTCCAAATACAGTGGATGATGAACTTGTTCCTCGTCCCATTATTAAAGAAGAAGAATTAAGTAAAATGGATGACATTGCTAGAGATGCTGGCTGGGCTATTCATGATGACGATATTGTGGATTATAAGTAAATATCTGAATTTCAGTTGGGATTAAGAAGCTAAATTTGTCTTAAAACACCACTAGTTCTTGCTGAAATATTATTATTATTATTATTATTATTATTATTATTATTATTATTATTATTATTATTATTATTTTTATTTTTTCTTCTTTTTTTTTTTCTTTTTGCTTCATGTGTTTTGTCATCTGGGAAATTCAGTGAAGTAAAATAAAATACTTTTGTATAAACGGCGATAAATTGATATAGTATGTAAACTTTAATATTTTCAGTCAGCAACTCTTATTTAGTGATGATGAGAGTACACCAGAAGAAGATGCACGCAAAGATGCCAAAACTTCCAATAAAGATGAAAAACGTTCCAATGATAGAGAACGGGAAAGAGAGAGTGAGCGTGAAAGTAATGAGAGGGAAGAACATCGGGTAAGTAAAGAATGCTGTGAAATATATTTAAAAAAATTAATTTGTAACTTCAAGTTCAACTGTGTGTTCCACTCAACTGAGAAAATGTAGTCCAGGATTTAATTAAAGGTGGTCAATTTTAACATATTGTTATGTTTGTCACAATAACGAGCCACATCTATTTTGTGTCTTATTAAATGGCTACATTTTGAGATCTTTTTCGTCTGTTTAACATCTGAATTTCATACAAAAATATAAAATACAGTATAAAATAAGAATGAAAGACTTAAAACTAATAAAATCCTAGCACTGTACCAAGTAGTGAGAACACTTACCTCACTTTAAATTGTAAATAACAAAATACTGATTGCGTCCACAACTTACTTGCTGAATGATGAATCGCTGGAGTGGAGGGTGGGAACAGGACGGCAAGGCAGGATGATCGAAGGGGAGGTAAAGGTTATTGGCCAAAAAATGTAATTGTATCTCTTGATTATATTGGACATATTTTTATTATCATTAACAAATTATTATAAATATTAAAAGTCTGTACCTTCTTGATGGTATGGTCTCCTATAAGGTACCTTAATTTTTACATATTATAACTCGCAAATTTAAGTGAGGTAAGTGTTCACACATACTTGTTATAAGTGTTAGTTTTATTAGTTGTAGTTGATAATTCTTAATTTTACTGCAATTTTATATTCTGCTTTATATTTTTATGTGATTTTCAGCCTTGAAGCAATTATATGGGCCTCAAAACATTGGCAACTTAATACGAAACAAAATTGATGCATAAACGTTGTTCTTGTGCTGGTAAACATATTAAAATGCTAAAATTATGTATCCGCAAGTTGAACATGAAGTCATTTCTATTATAGATGTAAATTGTTGTCTATTGAGTATCTCAACCAGATTACAGTACAGCATAAATACCTATCAGTGTTGCCAGATTTTTGTGGCATTAGGCGAACATGGTTTTGAACATTCCAAAGCCAATCTTCCAAATTTGAATCACTTGATTGACCCAATAATTATGATTTATTCATATTTGAATATTGAATAAATATTGTGACATGCTATGAATATAATATTATCATATTTACCCATATATAAGTCGACTACGGAGATTTTTATTTATTTATTTACTTACTATTATTATATGGACAAGTAAGTGCCATTATTTACAAAAAGATTACAATAAAAAATTTGCATTTAGCACCATAATTATAAAAATAAGAACAGTTATAAAGAAAAACATTCAATTATAACATGAAATATCTGGTATAACAGTAGCCTACTCATTCAAATTTCAAGATTTTGTTGCTCGCTAGTGATAAAACAGCAGATTTATTCGTTTCACATATATCAATATTCAAAATGTTGACTTGATTTGCAACATCGATTTATAACATTATTTGGTATGTAAGATTGATGGTAAAATCTAATATCAAAAATATCTTTGGTTCTAGAATTAAAGTTAATTGTTATCTGGTTTTGTAAGATTTTGCAGTCGACCTCGCCCAATATCAGTTTACTCAAAAACAAGCCGTTCAAGTCTCTCTGAGAACTCGGTGAAAGAATGTGCAATTGCAGAGCCAAGTCAATATATTCATGTTAGTTTTTTTTTTATATGGATCTTCCATTCACAACTCATAGGCTGACATTCTGAAAAATTTGTCTTGGACTGTTTCAATTTGTGATTTATATTTATATAAAAAAACAACAACACTAACACCACAAGACCAAACCACAGAAGAGTACATCAATATTGGCTTGACCAGCATAAGATAGAGCTATCTCAAGACCATTACTGAGTGTAATTCGTGGCAAAATCTTTAATGAATCCCATGACTTGGTTTGATTTGACTATTATTGTGTGATGAAAATGATCCGTGAAAGTCATCCGTCATCCTGGAATCAGAAATCACGCCCGGGTCTCTAATAGTATAGGCTCTCTAATGGAGAAAGATTCATCGTATAATCAGAGGGATTTATTAGATCTAGATCTTGAACACGTTATTGTTTTACATTTTGCTATATTGAGAAAAAGATTGTTCATCATGCACCATGCGTACAAGACATTAGTGTTTTGCAAAAGGTCTGTTTTCATCAGATTGGATTTAAAAAAAATTATAACATCATGAGCAAAAATCAGACACTCTACATCCAATATACTGTCACATATGTCGTTAATATAGATGTTAAATAAGAGAGGACCTAAGTGTGACCCCTGAGGGACACCTGAAGATGCCTCTGTAGCATCGGAAACTATACTGTTACATGAAACCATCTGAACTCGATGAGCCAGGTAACTGTGAAACCTCTAGTAACAATGCATTTACCCCCAACCTCTCCAGTTAAACTAGCAAAATCTCGTGGTTTACCAAGTCGATTGCCTTGAGTCTGTATATATACAATCAACTTGTAGTTTGTTCCATAGCTTCAAGTATATAACAAGAGTAATAGGACAAATTAGCTTATATATTTCTCCCAGGCATAAAACCAAATTGTTTATCTGAAAGATGTGGATAAGTAGCAACTCTGATTTTATTCATAATCAAGGATTCAATAAGTTTTGTCTGTAAGACTGTAATTCTTTGTCATTTCTGTCACCAAACATAGATGGGTAGTATGAATGAAGACTTCCATTTGTTCGGAAAAGTGCCCTCGGTCAGAGACTTTGCAAATAACAATCTGAGAACTCGTGCAAAAATGAATTGACACAACTTCAAAAGTATAGAGGGAATGCCATCTGGACCTGCTGAGCTCTGCGTTTCCAACTTTTCAATTCTGCGCAATATGTCAGCTACCCCAATTTCCAAACCACACAGACGCTGGTCCATTATCAATAGAGACATTAAAATTCTTGTAGAAAGATGAAAAATATCTCTCAAACCTATCCATGATAGTGTTGTCTTGGCTATCCAGGACGAGCTGTGTCACTGACATGGTTGCCAGCGTATTGTGGTCTTCTTCAGAGTGTACTGCTGATGTGTCTCGGATAGCATAGACAACATAAACTTCGGCCGCGTAAGCCTACACAACCATCCATGATAGATTTGGTATCATTGAAAATGGGTGAGCTACAGTGCATAGTTTTTGGAAGGCCCATACTCTCCTTTTTTGAATTAACATATTTCCAAACATTTGTTTGGTCAGTAGTGATATATCTTGTCAGATTCACATTATAATTCACAAAATCTTTCCTCGCTAAGCTTTTACAATTTGATCTGAGTTTACAAAATCTTGTATTCAGAATAGAGGAGTTAAATCGTTTATAACTAAAATGTTATTCTTTTAAAATCAATTAAAACTAATTTGTACTATTTATTGAAAATAAAATTGAAAATTGTCTGGTTGACTAGAAAATTTGTCTTGTGAATGTCTGTTATAACTTAGACTGAGCTACTCTATTTTCTTGTTCCTTAAAATGATCGTAATCATGGATTTTTTTTTTTCACTAACATTTTCTTTTTTGCCCTCCTCCCATATTGTGATGTCCTTGGATGCTGTAGGATCCACATTGTATTTGCATTCTTGATCCTTCAAATGACACCACATAAGAAAAATCTCTTCCAGCATCAAATTATCATTCTGAGCTGATCTTATTCGTGGCCTGGGATTCTTTAAGTGTTCTTTCATATTTATGTTCCCCGTTTTTATGTTCCTGCATTTTACATTTTCCTGCTTTTTTGTCATTTTTCGTTGGTCCTATCGAAAAGCCTGTATTTAAAATATTTACAATTCTCTCCCTGCAATTGACAACTTGATATGAAGAGTGCTTCCCGTCATTTATGTCTATTTTTAAAATTTATTGTATGTTTTTTTTTACTTTCTCGTATATGTACGTATTACACTTAATGCTGAGAAAGTTATGTAATGCTGCGTCCAAAAAACCCTACTTTTCGACAGCAAAAACTTGTACTGCACAGAAAAAGTGGATAAATCCTGTTCCAATATGTAGTAAATGACTACATATGTATGTAATGAACTCGCGAAAGGCTAGAGTTTATTCATATCAATTGAGTAATACCAGTTTTGGAGAAAATCGGCAGGTGGTTTACGTGCTTGCGTTGACCGCTGATGGACAAACAGATGTTTTGCTCTCAATCAATTTTGTGGTTTCAAGGACCCATAAAACAGGTATTTAGGCCACACCACTGTTAGAGGAAGTAATTTACTATATAAAGGAATATGATTTATCCAATTTTTCATTGCCAGGGCCCGTTAATAAAGGATTTTCTTATGAAACTTGCCGATTCATCACACGCTTTTACTTCTCTTCTTACAAGAACTAGAAAGTCAAAACACCATTGCAGTAAATAATGAAAGTAGTTAATTACCCTATAATTTTTTGAGTTTCCTGAATTTTACATTTGCACATCAGTCCCCTGAAAAGTGTAAAATAGAGGTTTTACCATATTTATTTATATTCATGGACAATTCGTCCAAAAATGCATACAAATAAAGAAATCGAGCAACATGTACATAAGAATGAGTAATTGAAAGATACGAAAATAATCATCATTATTTTCATCATCATCATCTTGACCAGAAATTAAGCTCTATAGCGTGTTTCTATTGGTTTATTACAATATTCTTGGTACATTCTTAGTCTGCTGTTCTTCCTGGTTGTTGCCACCTCTTTAAGTGGTCGCCCTCTATGATCCCTATTGGTTTGTACTTCCAGATTAATTTGCAAATCTATTGTTCATTCTCTGTAAATGATCTTTCACTAAACATTTGTCTTCTAAACATTTAGTTTTCAATTTCTTTCTGATTTTTTTATTTCTTGGTCTCTCTCTTCTTAGGATTCCCATGGTGTCTTAGAAATCTCGTGAGTACTGTCTGTAATTTTTCTTTGTCTCTCTTTTATTTCCTATTTTACAGAGCGATACATGATTCTAGGTTTAGCAGCTATATTGTGGAGTTTGTGTTGTTTCCAATCCAGGTCCCTGCCTAAGTGTCTCTTTATAACTACAATAGAATATGTGGAACAATCAAGTTAATTTTCTATGAGTCCTGAGTTTAGCTGTGTACACTTATATTTCCAAGGTATGAAAATGTATTTACTTGTTCCACTATTTTCCATTTATTACTATTTTGGGTCTCCTTTGTTCCTTGCCTTGCATAGCCATTTTTCTTTTCTGAATTGCTATCTTCATGGAATATTCTTGGGCCAATTTTGTAAATTCAAACATTGCTCTTTGTAAATTATCTTCAGAATTCATTACAATAGTTTTGACATCAACATACAAGATTGTGTCTATCTTCTTGTCTTTTGTGATCTGTATTCCTTGTCTCACTTTCTTTCTCCACTTTCTCACTAAGTGGTTAACATATATGTTGAAGAGGATGGGTGATATTCCACAACCTTGCTACTGTTCGTTGTTATTGCTGCCCACTTTTTTCTTTAACAGTGTTTTAATTCTTGAGTTCTTGTAGAGACTTGGTATTGCATTGAGTAACTGATTAGGAATTTTCTCCTCTTGTAGTATTTCTCAGAGTTTCTGTCTATTAACTTTGTCGTAAGCATTTTAATAGTCAATAAATATTACCAAAGTTGGTAAATTCCTTTTCTTTCTTGTGTCCGTTATCATCTGTAATGTAAAGTTGGTGACTTTCATGCTTCTACCCTTTCAGAATCCACTCTGCTGTTCCTTAGCATGTTTGCATATAGCTTAGAAGCTGTTGATCTTAATGTAATGCTTCTGTAATTGGCATATCATGTTTGAGCCCTTTTTGTGAATGTTAATAACCAAACCTTCTTGCCAGTCTATTGAGATTGTTTTCTCTTGCCACACTTTGTTAAAGAATTCTCATAATATTTCGTGCTGCTCATTTCCTCCATATCTTGTGAGTTCTATGCAGATCTTATCTGGTCCAAATTTTTTTTCTATTTTTTACTTAATACTGCCTTGAGTTCTACATTCAGTGAGTTATCTAGTTCATCATTGTCAGAGATTTGACTTGTTTTTTCCAGCACTACATTGGATGTGAAAGTTGAGTTGTTCCACAGGGTGTAGTAGTGTATTATCCAATTTTCTTCTGGTATTCCAATTAATCTGAGTTTTTTTCACCTTCATGTACAGCAGTTTCAAAATTTCGAAACCCATTTGTTGAGGGCCTAATACATGTTTTTCTACACTTTTAACGAATTTTCTCCAGTTCTCTCTCCTCTGTATTCAGCTGACACATCTCACATTGGCCCGTCATCTTTTATATTCTATGTGGTTTATCACTGTTTTTGGAAACATGTTCTCAATGTTTTCTCCTTGAGATCATTGTCCCGCATTCTCAACCATTTCGTTTTCTTGAATGGTTTATATCCTACTCTTTTCTCGCTTGAATCATAGTTCAAGTGTACTCCAAAATGTCTCAATATTTTGTTTCTCTAGCTTCTGTAGATTTTCCCAGCCTTTTTTCATATAAGGTTCTTATACTTTCATCTTCTAGAAGAAATACCTTGAGTTTTGGAGGTGTTATGTCTGTTTTTGTTTGTTGTAATGAGTTTAATTTTGCTCTATCTAATAGTGGTCTGTGTCTTATTTCACAACCTCAAAATACTTTGGGATTCTTGATATATTTAAATACTTTTCTGCTTACTATTGCGTAGTCTAGGACAGATCTTATACCTCTTGCTTCCCAAGTGAATTTGTGGATTTCTTTGCTTAAAAACTATTTGTTATCCTTATGTTCTTGAACTGGCAAAACCTAAGAAGCATTTTGCCATTTTCGATGATTAATTTTCCCCTCTGCTTTTGCATGGAGGTATTTCATTATCACCAATTCCAGTATTGAAGTCTCCAGATCTAATGAGGAGCTCGTCTTTACGTACTTGATCTACCAGTTGTTGTAGATCTTTCTAGAAACGGTTCTTCTGCAGGCCTTCAACTGGAATGTAAACTATTATATTTAGTTTGTGTGTGTTCACGTTTTCATTATTATTATTATAAGTCTTCGGGATATCCAATTGTATTCATCAATGGAATCTTTCCCTTTCTTATTTATTTTAAGGCTACTCCTGCTGTGGCATGTTCTTCTTCCTTTACTCCTGAATAAATAATAATACAATATTTTAGTTCTTTAGAACCGCTTTTCTTTTTTCTTTTTGTTTTCTTTCTCTCTCTCTCCTTTTCTCTCTCTCCTTTTCTCTCTCTCCTTTTCTCTCTCGTTCCCCTTCTTCTCATCTCTCCCCTTTATTCTCTCTCCTTCACCTTTTTCTCTCTCTCCCTATTCTCTCCTCTCCCCTTTCTCTCTCTCCCCTTTTCTCCTCTCTCCCCCTTTTCTTCTCTCCCCTTTCTCTCTCTCTCCCCTTTTCTCTCTCTCCCCCTCTTTCTCTCTCTGCTCCTTTTCTGACTCTCTCCTTTTCTCCTCTCGCTTTTTCTCTCTCTCTCCTTTTTCTCATCTCTCTCCTTTTCTCTCTCTTCTATTTCCTCTCTCTCTCCTTTTCTCTCTACTCTCCTTTTTCTCTTCTCCTTTTCTCTCTCTCTCCTTTTCTCTCTCTCTCTCTCCTCTCTCTCTCTCTCTCCTATTTCTCTCTCTCTGCTCTCCTTATTTCCTCTCTCTCATCCTTTTCTCTCTCTCTCTCTTCCTTTTCCTCCTCTCTACTACATCTCTCTCTCCTTTTCTCTCTCTCTCTCTCGCTCTCCTTTTCTCTCTCTCTCTTTTTATTATTGTGGTATATCAGAATAAAGATTCATATTTAAACCCATTTCTTTGTGAGTTAATCCCCTTACTTTCCATATTCCCACTTTTAGCAGAATATTATTTCTATCTTAGTGTTATCGTGTTTTGTTATGGAACGTTTTTTGAAAATTTGTTGTCTTGATTTCTTTGGGTGAAAAAGTGAAATCAAAACGGGCGAATTTTCACTCCTTGGGGCCAAACGTCTGGATCGTGGAGTGCTTCTAGCTCATTAAAATCCACTCCTAACTTACAGGATTTATTAGTAATGTATCTTGTTTGCAAATGTTCACACGATATTGTGCCAGTTATTCCATTTTCCTGTAGATACTTTGTAATATCGTCCTCTTAGTTGTTGGCACTGACCCTTCCTATGAATAGCCAGCCAGTTTTTTGAACTGCTTGGAACGGGCCTTAGGCTGGTTTTGATCCCACTACTGTACTTTTTGAATTGTGGCTAACTGCTGTTTCTCTTGTATCTCTGATTACTTGACTTCTTGCTTTGAGCCGTTTATTTTTTTCTGTTTTTTCATTTTCACTTGTCTTGAATTGGTTTGCTGGTGATGTAGATACCTTCTGCTAATTAAATATGGTAAATTAAAGGCGTTATGAACTTTGTTTTCAGCCTGGGAGCTGCAAGCTCTGAGGATGATCGCTACGCAACCGAAACAATCATTTGCAAGATACATTTTTGATACCAGACAACACCTTTAATTTACCGTATTTAATTCACTTGTCTTCTCTTATGTTTGTTCCTTTTTTCCCTTGTTACTTCTTCCAGCAGGCTTATATCATTACCATTCTGTGTTTCAGACATCTGTTTCATCATCTCTTCCTTTATTTATTAGATCTGGGTTTTCTATTTTATTCATGTTATTGCTCAGTGTCCCCTTTATTTCTTGTGTTGTTATCCAGTGCTTCATTTCTGATGGTAGTTTTGTTAGTATCATATGTATATCTTTTTTTTTCTTAGCTGTCATTTCCATTTTATTATTTTGGGTTTCATTAATAATTTCCTTATTATCTGTTTTATACAGTGATGTTCTTGACATAGCCAAGTTAGTTCGGTCTGTTTTTGTAAAAGTTTTGCATAAGTTTTGCATCTCTCTCGAGTAACCCCATACACTGTGCATGGAACATGCTGCAATTTCCTCCACATTTGATTTCATTGTTTTGCACAATAACTTTATACAAATCACATTGTATTGTCTTCTCTTTGACAGTGTGCTTTGGATCTTGATCATCTGCAGCGCTGCTATCCTTATCCATTTCTGGTCTTGATATTTGACTGTACTAATTAGCACTCAAATGTTTATTTCACCTTCGACTTTTCCAATTTTAGTTTTTCTTTTTCTTTTATCTCTCTTACCTGTTGCTACCTTGTACATTTCTAATTTCCTTACTTTTTACTTTCCTTACTCCTGACTTTTTACCACAAATATCGTTACAATTTTTACAAATTATATTTAGTGATTAATTAGCTTTATTCTTTGTGCGATAGAATCTGCTTTTAAACAAATCGGATATTCTGCTACTAGTTCTTGATACTCTTTAAGACCTACTTGATCCAGCAAAGAAGAGCATTTAACATTGCCTGTGAACAAACAACGCACAAATATCAAACTTTTCATCTCTATACATGACTAAGGCTTTTCATTGAAGATAGGTTTTTATCATCCGTTTATGTTGTTGGATGTAGGATACTTTCATTTCATTTCTGTCTCTTGCAAATCTCGGATTCACCCTCTTCAGGCATTGAGAGAAGAGTCCACGCTGCCTCATTGATCTCTTAACAAGCATTATGTCACAAAAACTTTGTAATAATTTTTATTCATTTTCACTTTGTGTTTCACTTGATACATAGCCATTTGTTTGAGATTTTCAAGTTACCAGTTTGTTTAAAAATATCAATCAGAATTGCTTGGAAAATTTGTGGTGGAATTCGAGAATACAACCATGAATGTAATTACATATTACAGATACAACTTCACAGCTTATTGTAATGTTTTAACATTTACAAGACTTGTAACACGGAAAGGCAGTGTAAAAATGTAAATCTATAACAGATTAGGCTTAATCTGTGAGTAAAAGGCTTTTTTTTTCTCTCCTTTTGTCAAAAGAGATGCTTAAAAAAAACATTGTTTTTATATTTGGGTAAATATGGTATATATTTATGAAAATGATTTTACTTTAAAGATGCCTTACATCATATTGTAAAGAATTATATCACAATACCTAAATTGAAACCCCTCCACAAATTTTGGAAGGATCTAATTATGCCGGTACTGATCTTTTTTGGAATAGTTTTGAGAACCATAGCCAAAATTAAGATGTTTATCAATTATTGGTGGTGTTGGTTTTCCTAATGTTGAAAGGAGTTACATTATCGACAGTTGGAATAAGAAATCTATCGTGTCGTGTGAGTGCAATTCCCAGGGTTTCAAAAAAATGAAAATATTTCAGTTTGTTTCCCTAGTCAAGGTGATAGACTCACCAGGTGTTGTGTATAAGATAAAAGATATGTAAGGTATATGCTGATCAATTTACATAATGCTCTCAAAAATGCAGTATACCTAGAGGACATGGTTGATCCAGTTGATGCGGCTTTGTCTACCTTGTTACAAGTAAATAATGAGTAGATGAGAAAACAATACAAATTCAGTTAAGTTTGAACAGCATATGAATACTTTAGTGTTTTTGCAAAGCATTTTAGATGTGTAGGGAATGGTAGAGTACACTATCCCATAGAGGTGTAAGATTGTAATTGATGATTGAAAAGGGGATACATTACACAGAACCTCTGAAATGGAAAATGTCATATTTGTATATTGTGCCAAAATTGTGTGTGCAATGGATAAAGAATTTGTTATTTCATCCTTTGAAGCTGTGTGCTCTTGGAGATTCACACGGGAAATCAGATGAAACATGCTCCACAAGGAATAGAAATCAAAGTTGAACCTTGCACAGTGGAGAGGTTACTGATCTCAACTCATTGTCTGTGAATGTGAATAAGAGTGTAAAAGAAAAAGCCTCATAAGAGAGAGGAGGGAATCAATCCATTTTAAGTGATCCAGTACTGGTCACTCGACAACACTCCAGAAGCTCCCAGTGGCTATCTGACTGTGCGTAATAACTTGTCCAGAGACTACCACACACAGAAATGTACTGCACTACTTGTCTAGAGCAATCAAAGGGTTAACAGATCCAAATTTTGTCATGATTTGGGGAGGGGGTTCACCCCCATCTGGTTCTATCAATGTCTGCATGGTGGACTACTCACTTGAGCATCAGCTTCTCATAAATAACCTTGTTTATACTATAATTTTTTTACCTCTGAATAAAACTTGGGTTTGAAGACCAGTGTCGACTACTTCTGTAGATGTAGAACTTTCTTTCAACAGCTCCTTATTCATTATAGGGCGTAATTGGTAGCAGAGCTCAGAGAATGTAATGAGTAATTTTAAACACAACAATGAACTTTTATTTTAGTTATTTTCTTTTTTCTTTTTTTTTTTCTTGAATATTTGGTAGAAAATAAATACATATGTACTTGCATGTTTTGCTTTTTTTATTACAATAAATTTTAATAAAATCCTTTGTCACATTCATCACACATCATTTGTCACATGTAATTTGCTATAATTATTTGTATTTCTAAGGGTATGTCCCGTTAATAAATAAAAAATAATAAAATAAAATAAATTCCATTCCCTAGTGATGAGCAACTTCTATTGGAAGGAAACGTGAAGCTAAATAATGTCAAAAGGCTGTAATTCAGGAAGGAAGAAAGAAAAGAGAAAAAGAGCTCGACAAGCATCAAAACTAGCAGACATTTTCAGTTCTGTAAGTTTGGGTTCAAAGAAGAAAAATGGAGATTAGAATTTTTCAGTTTTAATGTGAAAAGCGAATAAGATATTTATGAAGTGTACAAAACTGTACTTGTGGGAAGTAAAAAGTTGTAATATCCTAAACAGAATTATACAAATATGGGAAATACGTGTTAACTGCTATCATTAATCAGTGGTGACCTCCTGTCTTCTCACATTTGCGATGGTAGATCAGAAGTGCTGAGTTGCGTACTTGTTAACAGCGAAAATTATCCCTTGTGATCATAAGAATGATTTCAATTATTAACCCGTATCTTCCTCTTGGCAGGATTTCCTGCCAGGTGTCCTGGCTCGTGATTCTCATTGTTGTTTGTCCAGAATTGCAGTTGCATGCCCAAGTTGTGATATCTGATAACAATAGTGTTGGGCGAGCAAGATAAACATGATTCTTACGAGTTTCATTTGTTTTTTTGTACTCGTCATGAGAAGTTTGTCTCCTAATTTCGTGTTTCAAAATGAGTGCGAGACATTCAGAAAGGTAACTTTATTTTTATTGCATGAACGTAATGATTAATTTCTGAAATCGAAATATTATCTAAACATGTTCTCCTACATTATTAATTATAACTAAACTAATATTTAATTATTGTGACATTATACACTGTATGACTCAGGCCAAACTATTACATTGAGTCGTATTTGTCTATTTTAGGGGTCTGACTGTAAATGAAATCGTCAATTTATTGAGAAATGATGATATAGAAGACATAGGTGATATTGCTTTGGCAATGTTTCCACCCATGGAGCATGCACAAGCAGATACTGTTATAGATTCGGATAGAGGAGATGATAAAACGCAAGGAGACCCAGTACATTTACCATGAAGATTGCTGAAGTCTGAGGGTGTAGTTGTAATCAAAACTAACAATAAGATTAGGAAAACTTGTTCAAAAATAAAGAAGAAAATATTCAGATATACTAATGTAAAATGCTCTGACAATAGAAAATGTGGATTTGATGTTGAAAAGGACGTCAATACTCAAAATGAAAGTGAGGGAAAAGCAGATCGCAATAGCGAGAAAGTAAAAAGAAATTCTCTTACTAACGTTACCCAACAGGAATCAAGTAAGAAACTTCCAATTTCAAATAAGGAATGAAACTGATCGAAGATACAACTTTTGTTGGAAAAAACATTCGTCCTTGTGCATTTTCTTATTGACCTAAAGAACTTGATTTTTTGAAAGAACAACGAAAAAAAATTTTTTTCTTTATTTTTTTTTTTATTTTATTTTATTTTATTTTTTTTTTTCTCCCTCTTTCTTTCTTTCTTTCTTTCTTTCCTTTTTCTTTTTCCCTATGGAAGTAATCGACTTGATTTTATTGGAGAGCAATTGCTATGCTATTCAGAAACACGTATCAACAAGTGTGCTAACAAAGGAAACAATCCTAGGGTTTATTGGAATACTTTTTTTGTCGGTCTTAGTCAACGTCATTAGCAATGTCCCAGACATCCATAATGAACTGGTTGCAGACACAATGAGAAAGACCATGTTTGATGATGACATGAAGTGTATACATTACCATAATAAATTCTGATCCATATTACAAAATATGTTGGATGTTTCGACATTTGAATCAAGCCTTTAAAATTATAAACAGCTTTGAGAATATAAGGATAGATGAAACAATCATTTCATTTTATGGTAGACATGGTACCAATCATTTCATTTGTGGAAAACCTGTGCGATTTGGCTTCTAACTTTGTTTCCTCTGTACGAGCGATGGGCATTTGATTCACGCAGAAATCTATTGTGGGACAAGCATGGAGATCACAGCAACTGGCAAAGGACAAGGTTATGATGTAGTTATGGGATTGATGGAAAATTGCAATGTAAGAGAAGGCTGTCGCCTATTTTTTGACAATCTTTTCACCTCCGTCCCACTATTGGAAGATCTCTTTATAAAAGGCATTGGTGCTACAGGAACGGTTATGGAAAATAGGCTAATAGGCTAATAGGCTTACCACCGTGCACAAGAAAAGAAATTGAAAAGAAAGAGAGAAAAGGGAACATCCGATACCGTTGTAACTGAGGCTATTTTATAGGCGAGATGGAATGATAATAGAGCAGTAACTGTTGCAACTATTTGCCAGTACACTGCGCAAAACTGTTAGGTGGAGTACCCAAAAGAAAAGAAAACTTGAAGTGCATCAACCATCACCAGTTGCTGATTAGAATAAACAAATGGGGGGGGGGGATGCTCACGATAAGTTTTCATCAACATACATCAACATTAAAATAATATCAAAGAAGTGGTTGTGTCCATTCTTCAACTGGGGTCTCAATGTGTCAATGGTAAATGCGAGGCACTCGTATTGACTAGTAAGCAAACCTAATGAAACTCATCTGTGACATGTGCCTTCAAATAATTAAGATGAACAGTACATCTAGAAAAGTAACTGGACCCTGCATTTTAAAGGTATTCATTCATGACACCTTAGATATGATAGTAAAATCCCTGGATTGTCAAAACTGACATACTCAATTCCAGGTGCAAGCAGTGCGCTAGGAGAACCACGTTCAAACATGAGGAATGTGATATATCTATGCATCCAGAATGTCAAGTCTTACCAAAGCAACTACGACCTCTCAAGTACAGTAGCTCTATTGTATGATTACATAGGGGCTCTGTTGAAACAACAAACCTATTCACCTTTGTAGAAATTTTGAACTACATATCTTCAAGATTATGGAAAAATGATTTCATTCTTGTAATAGATAAAAGCATTCCAATAACCCCAAAGCACAAATATAGATTTGTTTATAAAATTTTGGTGGTTTTGCTTATTTTGATACTATCCGTTGGCAGGAAATCCTGCTGAAAATAATTGTTTCAATATTTTAACGCAGAGTTATGAACTAGAATAGTCAATTATACCATTAAATAATGTTTTTTGCTAGATCAGGTTTGTGTAACACAAAATATGGGTACATTAAATTCTGGGAAGATATGGGTTAAAAATTTTATTTGATATCAGTTTCCATATTTTGAGAAACTGTAATAGTTTACATAAGTAAGCAATGCGTATTTCATAAATGCAAATTATCCATGAATTATTAATGTTTGCACTCTACCAAATGCCAGTGAAAACAACGGAAGTACATTGCACTCACTATACAGTATACTTTGGGAGATGAAGAGTTTGGTATTGACAGCTAGGTGGTGTCCCTTCATTACCATGACAAAGGCATACTATGGGCAAATTGGGACAGCATCTGTCAACCTGCATTGTTGATTTTTTTCTATGCCGCATGCATGGCCAAAGGCACAGTTGGGTTACTAGAATGGGGTGCCGAGCTCAGTCTTGGTCCCGAATGAAACATTAGCCCTGATAGATAGTAAAGAATAAGTAGGATTTCCAATGAAGCTTATCTTTTCAAACAGCAAACGCATTCCACCTCACAGCATGGCAAGAGCACCTTGACAATGAACTGAGTAATGAGCACTGTAACACTGTAAAGGGGCTCAGAGGTGCCTGCCTAAACTACCAATGTTAAAACGAGAATTTTTGATGTACCTTTTTTCAGAAATTATTAATGGTAGAGCTTTGAAATTTTCATAGCATGTACATTGTAAGTCTTATCACTTCAACACAGGGAAATTTTTTGAATAGTTTTAAGTTAGATTGTACACTAATTTTTTTCTTAAACTTTTAAAAAATAATTTTCATTTCTGTCAAAACATTAGTTTGTTAAATGGTAATAAAGATGTGAAGGCATGATATTCCATCCATAGTGTAGTAAGCCATCTATAGTTTTGGAGAAAAGTTCCTTGAATATGAAAATATGTAACTTACAGGCAATGGCGTCTAAAGTTTCATAACCAAAAAAATACTCGTGTAAGCAGCTGGCCTTTTGTAGCACTGCAGTAGTTTATATTAGCAACACAATAATGGATTAGGACTATAAGTGGCAAAAACATGCTACCAGGGAACACCAATAATGTGTGTGTGCAATGGTTGGATTTTCATATTCCACATGGAAGAAAGGAGCCTCTCTACTGCTTTCTTCATGACTTTAATAGGGACAGTATTTTGTCTTATGATTTCTTCCATCATTTTCCCATTGCTTGGTTTTGTAGTATCACGAATCCAAATCTTTGTCCCATTCTCTTTTGAATGTTGCTTTTGCATTCAAATTTTCTTATAGTAACCACTGTACTATACAGTTTCAATTCCCCTATACACTAGAACCCTTCAGAGCCGCCACAATCATCTAGATAATACACTCATCGAACACCATATCTTGAAAGTCAAACTGTCAAACCACACCCACAGCCAGTGCACACATTTATAAAAATAACTATTTCAATTTCAAGAGCATGTAAACCAAAAATGTAATGCATTTTCAAGAACAAAAATGAAATTATTTTTTAAAGCAAAACAAACATTTTTTGAGGGGTGGACTCCCTCTGGTTTCTCTTAAGGGTCAATCATGGACACTGTTTTTTTGAAGGTGTTTCCAGAGTAGTGAAAGAGATGAAATAGTTTCATTGAAGTTCATTACAGTACCTCAACTTTGACTTAAGGCTTGCGGCCTTTACTATCTTAAACCTATGAAGTAGACAGTGGTATATGCTACAGTTCCAACCTAAATCTAAAATAATTTTGAACTTCTTTCTAACTTTTCTTTCTTGCACCTATGTAAATTATATCAGGGATTCTCAAAAGGGTTGATATTGACCTTGTGGGGATCAATGAAATTTTACAGGGCTTAATATGATCAATATTATGAAGATTCAGATATCATTGGTTACCAAAAATATTAATGAATTTAATTATTAATTGTTTCCTACAAAATATCTAATAATGAATTACACATTAATTTTCCTTTCAGATTATTCATTGTTAGGATGTATAGAAAACTCGAGAGATTATAACTATTTAACTCTTATCACGCAATAAAATATTCTTCACAATATTCATTGAGGAAATATTGCCAGTTCATGACAATACTAAACAGTATGTTATCGATGCAGAATGATGAATATTATAAACTTGGCTATTCAGAAGCAGAAATGTTTCTGATTATTGGAAATCTAGATTTTCACAAAAAGATGGGTATATGGTCTTTTAAATGAGTAGTAAATAATGGTATATAAATCATATTCTTTATCATTTATGTGCATTTATGTTAGGATTATGAATACTGTACATTATGGAGGTAAATGTCAGGGGGTTGACAAAGCAAACTACTCTTCTAAATGGATTGACCCACGTGAAAAGATTAGAATTGCTGAGATAAATGAAAGGGGAAATTTTCTCACATACTGACATTTTCATGTTTATCAATGAAATTCCATGTAGTCAATTCAAATTTAATTATTTATGTTCATTATTACAAATTGTATTCTTTTGAAATTTTTTCAGTGTGTCCATAATAATCACCAAAATTTCATTCCTGTTTGATACGTTGTTCAAAGATATGAAAGTGAAATTTTCTTTTTTTATAATAATAGTTTTAAGTTTGTCAATTTGCAGAAGTGCATTGTGATAGTTTTCTTAGTATTTTACCATACTCCTAGTACTTGGTTTCAAAAATTTCAAATTTTTAATTATTCTTTCTGAAATCGGAACAACGGTACTGTTAGGCAAGAAGGCTAATTTGGATCAACCAATGTGCAAGAAACGGACAGAAATAGCACCGTTTAATTCTGTAACGTAATTTAAGGTTGAGATGCTCTTTGTAATAAATACAGTATATTGTATAAATACAGTAAATTGCAGATCTGCGATATAAGATTTCTGCTGGATGAATTTGTGTGATCAAAGTGTTGTTAGGAATCTGAGAATTTTCTATTCTCTTCATTTTAGTCAGTGTTTGTCATTACACAATTTAACAACAACAACAACAAAATTGTCAACAAAGATTTGTAACAAGATTCAATGGGGTGAGCAAAAAATAATTGACATACCTGCTAACAACCAATTCTCAGGGCTGTGCGATCAAGTTTATTGATCTTTGAATGAACAATTCCTGCAGAGCGAAGGAAATTTGAGATCAAGGGAACATATGATTGAAATATAAGATACTCTGTGAGAGAGATTTTCACAGAAACTATTAAAATAAGAAAATTAATTAAAGGTGAAATAAAAGTTTGACAAATCTTTTTTTTTTTCTACATGCATAGGAGGATCATAGAGACAAGAGGAATGAACCCTTACCACAAAGAGGCCCTCCTGAACAACCCAGTCGAAACTGGCAACCGGGCCGTTCCTCTGTTAATATGGACTTTCGGTCTCCTCCTGTACATGGGCCAGTTGCCCCAGCAACCCATCCATTGCCCCATGGTGGACCTGGTCCTGCATCTCTTGACTGTCCAATGCCTCCGGTGATGCGGCCAGTCTCCCATCCAGTGAGTATTTAGAGAATTTTTTTAAACTTAACTTCAGCATTCAACAAATGCAATTACGTTAATTGTTGACTATGTTGCTGTGAATTAGAAAAAAATGTTAAAGAGAATCTGTTTTCTTTGTAGATATTTCCTCTTCAATTTTGAGTTTCACCAATTTATACCTGTGTAGATACAAAATGTGAAATTAAGAACATAAAATCAAAAATGTGTAACAAGAAAGGAAACTTTTCATTATTGCATCCAAAAATGTAAAATATACTGGTCTGTCTTTAGAGAACTTAAAAAAAAGCCCTAATTTTGAAGAGAGGGTTTTTAAAAATTTTATTTTTAACTAATTCTTACTATGTAGTGCCAATAAATCCTTAAGTTGTCTCATACTTGAAAATTATGTTCTTACTAGAAACTTCTTGATAATGTAAAAGAGAATTATTTTTGCCTCTGCTATCTTTTTTTTATTTTCTAATAATCATAATAATTGTAGTTAGAATCATTGAGATTTGTCACTGCCATCCTCATTTTCTCTTGTATTGTTGTATTCTTTATTTGTTTTAAATGTTTATAAGTTCTGATATAGTTAAATTCATTTCCCTGTTTTTAGGGTCAAGGTCCTGGACCTCATGGTGTTGAAGATGAAGACATATGGGATGAACGAAGGCGTCAGCAAAATGTAGAGGTAGCAATGGCAATAGAAAGAGCTAAACAGAGGAAGGAAGAAGAAGAAAAAAGATTTCAAGGAACAAAACAAGTAAGACACATTTTTTAATTTAATACATACACTTAAGGCTAATGGTGTCTAATTCACAAATTAGCAGTTTAATGTTCATATTATCCGAAATGGATGGATAAAGTTGGCAGTAGTCTTTAGCCCTATGAAGAGCCCATCAGCTGACACAAGGTGGTTATACTATAGGTATAGTACATTATTTAAACCAGAACTCTGTGACTTTCTAACATGATCCAGATAATGTCTGTATTGTCATTGCCATACATACATCTTTATTCACACTGTCAGGCTAATGTGTGAATTAAACAGTTACTCTCAACATGAGCCATATTTTGGTCTTAGCCGGAACTTGTATCCATGTGGCGACTTAAATATCAAAGAGTGACTTAATACTTGTGATTATGCAGCAAACAATTTTTTTGTTGTGCAACTAAATAAAATAAAGAAGAGGTGAGGCTTTGGTTTGAGCCCTCCTCTTTCCTTTGTTAAATCTTGTAAGCAATTTTTACTAGGGGACTAAAAATTTTGAATGTTCAAGCACATGTGTTACACAGAAAGGATCAATTTGTACTTTTCATATATCTCATATCTCTCTTCAGAACATGACAATAAGAAAGAGCAACAAATTTGTATGTAAATAACACATAAAAGCATTTGGGATAAACTAATTTACTTGCAAGTAATGTTCTGGATAAAATGTTATGCACACACAAATAAAAAACAATGCATATTTACATCAAAAACTAAAACAACACTATAGTTTGGGTCAGGTAAATGAAAGTCATAAGGCCATTTGGCTCCCCGCTGTCTACTTCACTCTCTCGCCCTGTGGGGTTGCCGCTGGAGGGACCCACAGAACAGTGATCACTCTCAATGACATGAGGATGTCTGTAGGCATTATCATCCTCTGCTGATGGAGTTGTGAGTTGATGAGGTGTCGTATGAAATGGTACCAAAGGGAAGAGTATATAAATAAATTTACAAGGACACATTTGATATGGAAACATTGCAGGAGGAAGTCTACTGCAAATGTGTGCCTCACAAGCCCATTGAATGATGTTATATGCTTCACGGAGTACTATTCATTTGGAAGTTCTGATTCCCCCTGAACATGTGGGTGAACCTTTTTCGTAATACACATAATTTTGTATTAATCTTATTACACATGTACAAATAACTCTGTTAGTTATGGAATGCTACTTAATGAAAATATTTTTAAATATTCAGTATTTTCTTTAAATTTTTAATACAGAGCTTTTATTTCCAAATAATTACAAAAATGTAAAATGCTACATTCTAAGATTCTATTTCTCATCAGTTCAATAAAAGATATTTAATTCTATCAGGTTTATTTCAATTTTTCTTCCATTAGTAAAGTATAATTTATTTAGTTGCATAAATATAGACCTATATTTCTAATATTAAGAATTTTGTATTGAATATGTTATTTTAAAACAATTGATTACCACTTCAAATGCACAGAATTCTGAAACTTCGTACTTTGTTCAAGAGAGTGTTCTTTTAACACCTTTATTTTCTCTGTGGTTTCTGCAACAATAACTTAATACTTTGTCGAATGACCGATTTTTATTGTTTTTCTTAATCTTCTTGATCATTTTTAAGGTATAAACTTAAGTATTTTGAATAAATATTAGATGTTGCAAGTGGCAGATTAAATATGCAAAGTAAAAAATTCTTGATATTATACAAGATGTTCGTAAAAGAAATTAGATATCTGAACAATCAGCTGAAAAGTTCTCATGCCTAACGTGGTGCAGAGAGACAAATGATAAGAAAACAATTGTTTAATGCAAAATGTGTTATACTTTTGTTCAAACTGGTTATCAGGTTGTGTTATAAATGAAATGACAAGAACTGTAGAATCTCCAGGAAGTCTCATAATAACAAGTAGATGTGGTTAAAACAAGAATTCAGAGCAGCCCCGCTGAGAGTCATCGTGATTTTGAAATGACACCCATGAGTAAAGTAGATAAAACAATTGGCTCTGCAAAGCATTGTTTATTGTTCAAAGCTAGCAGCTATCGTTTGAAGCTTGGTCATCTTGGTAGCTCAGAAGTCCACACTTAAAGTAAATCAGGAAATCCAGATACAATTCTCTTTTAGGGTAACTATTGCTTAAACAATAAAACGATTGTCACTCAAAGCAAGCAGAAATGATTTGTTTGAAGTATTGGGCATCACTGTATCTCTGACTGGAAGTAAATCAGAAGACCCAGTTCCAATTCCTAATTAGGGTGACTATTGCTGCGAACAATTTAAGTAAAATGTAGAATATAATTTAATGTTTTCTGGATTTAAAAAAATTCTATCATCAAAAAAACACATCTAATAGTAATGAAGATATGCAAAAAATTGTGATTCTCAAGACAAAAACTGAAATTGTTCCAGAATGAGTACTGCAGATGCGACACATTTGGGTGTAATAGTTATAAGAATGATATGATGTTGTCAAATGCAGCCTTATGTGGATGAGGGCAAATTATTAGCAAAAACATGTTTAAAAGAAGAAAAAACAAACTTCATTGTTCCAAAATAACCTCAGTTCATTTAAACTTGTATTCTTTAATGCTATTTAAACAAATGTACTGTAGCTTGTCAGTATATTATTTACAAAATGGGTATGCATATGAAGAATTGGGTCAGAATTATTTTATATATCTATTTCCTATTAATTGTTAGCAGGTTATTTTGTTTGTACAGTTGATTTGTCACAGAAAATTACCGTATTTACCCAAATATAAGAAGAGTCATGTTTTTACACCTTGAAATTCGGGAGGAAAACACACCTCAATATAAGACGACCCTTGTTTTTATAACTTGATGTCAGTTTCTTACTAGGTAATAAAATTGAAAACAAAACACATCTATATTACTTACATGTTTATTAATATTATGCATAAATTATTTTGTGCATATCAATATTTTATACAGTACATGAATTAAACTTCAATTTTACCACATTCACATTCATCATTTAATCATCTCTCAATCATCTTCACTTGTTTCATCATCACTCATGTCCATCATTCTCCCTCCATAAGACATAATCTTCTGTGCCATACAGATTGTTGCTTACATTGCACTTTTTGAAACATTTTATTATGTATTGAGTTGATATAGTATTCCATTATAATACTCCATTACAGTATTCCATTACAATCCACTGACCAAGCTGTCCAACTGAAGGTTTTTTGATGTTAGCAGTTAATGGGCAGTTCCCTGATAAAAGCCATTCTTCATATTGGCATCAGAGTTAGTGCTTGAAAGATTTGTTTAGTCACATCAAGGACTTGCCAAGGAACTCCTGGTATTATTACTACTACATCTGTTTTTAAACTAGCAACTTTCTTTTCAACTTCTGTAAGGTGGCTCCTAAAGGCATCGAGGGTTAGCAATCCTCACTACTGTAATAGGACTCCCGGTGACTTCTTGAAGCCAAGAAATCATGAAGCTTTCAGTCATCCACCAAGATTGATTACATTTAAAAATTATTCCACATGGTTGTTTTCCTTTGGGCAAATTTTTCCTTTTCAAGTTGGTAGTTTCCTGCCATCTGCCAACACTTCCTAAATGACAGTAACATGCTTTTTTTTTTTTCCTCCAGATGTTTTTATCATAACTAAATTTTCATCTTTTTATAGCCACTGTATTGTTAGAAGGCATGTCGAACGAATTATACAGGGGTCACATCGGCATTCCCCATTTGACTCAACAAATGGTTGTGTGGATGGTGCAATTGTATAATGTACTTTTGGTATCCGGAAGTTTTTCTTCATAATCTGCAGGCAGCTTTTGCAATCGGGAAGTTCTTCTATGCAGACTGAACCCTTTCCTTCTCATAAACTGTATGCACCAGCTGACACTTGCATTGAATTCCTGTCTGGAAATGTTTATCCTTCTTGCTACTGCTAATGCTCTCATGCGAACGCTGTTTATAGAACCTTCATTGTCTATTTCTGGATGGCGCCCCACTTGTGGTCCACAGAAACATTTTCTTGTGGAATTACAAGATTTCAGGCGTTTCTTCATACCTCTCCAATGCCGTACATTTGTTTCACATATTTTATTTTATTTTTTATTTATATACATATAATTACAGGCAATCGCCCAATTATTAAATATCATTTACATTACAGTATTATTGAAAATCATTTAGTAACAGGTTTTTATAAGTTTTTTTATATTGATAAGGTGAACAAAATAAGTTAATGCGGTTACAGTTGGCACTTCTCACACTTTTTCCATATTGGCGCATAATAGTACAAGGTTGATCTCGCAAAAGGAATATTAAATAACATGCTGTTTGTAGAACGCAGATCACGCACTGGATTAGCCCAAAGAATTTTACAATGTAATTTTGAAGAGTCTATATCATGGTTTATCAAATTATACAGAAAAAGTACATCAAAATAATCCCTATGGGAGCGTAATGAGCTAATATTCATCTAGTTGCGACTTGGAAATAATTGTGACTAAGTCTAGGAGATGGAATATCAAGCTTGAAGGCAGCAAAAATAAAAAATTGTGCTGAACAGTCTCAAGTCTAGAGATATGGTTCTGGTAAAAGGGAGTCTAGAGATATGGTTCTGGTATTTGTGAGCCATATCGGTCTTACTAGAGTTAAATATAAAGTTTTGATGGTTTGCACATTAGTAAATTCAGATGCAATACGTCTCACAAATCCTTACATCTGATTTGATTTATTAATAATATCGTCAATATGTAGATGAAAACTCATTCTGTGATCGAAAATAACACCCAAATCTCTAAAGTATGAGACTGATTCCAACATTGCATCTCCTAGTTCATAATTGAATACAATGGGATTACTAGATCTAGTAAAAGACAAGGACTTACATTTACCATTTTTCAAATTCAAACATTTTGATGAACACCAATCTAACAATGTATTTAAGTCACATTGTAAATCGAAACAGTCTTGTAATGAATTTATAGTTTTATAAATTTTCAAGTCATCAGCAAAAAGTAGGAATTTTGAATATGGAAGTGTTTTCTGAAGATCATTTACAAATAGAATGAATAATAGTGGGAACCTTGTGGGACTCCAGATGTGACGTATATATTTCTAGAAACGTTATTGCAGCTTCACTATTCGTTTGTTCAGCGAGATCAATCGCTCGCAATTTAAAGTTTGCGTCTTAACTTTAGGTCGTTCAACATTTCTGGTAAGTTCTACACTTCCTCTTTTGTCCACATGGTCGGCCATTGCCACACTAATGTATCAGCACACAGCTACACTACACAACCACCAAGCATGAACACGACTATTACTAGTACTAAAGTTGCGGTTGTTTTGGCTTTGGCGATGTCACAGCTGTTACAACACTGCTAACTCGCTAAGAAAAACTTAAATTCTATCTAACGTTTCTGTGTAACGGCTGGGAAAATTATTCTAAATTTTTGTACTTCAATTATAAACACATCCAATAATAAAATAGAAGAAGGAAGAGGTTTTCTTTGTGAAGATATCTTGTATTATATCAGGAAGAACATGATACTGTTGAGATTGAGTTTTCTTCATACACAAATGTTTCATCATACGTGAGTATGACGACGACCTCAGATTTCTAAAGGATGAAATCCTTGTCTCATATTTGGGTAGATATGGTAAGTTTTTGTAGTTGTAGTTCTTTAGAAAAAATTACTTTTGTCACAATAATGAAGAATTTTCATGTACTTAGCATTTTTTCTCTGTTATTAAAATGTGTATTTCTATGGAAATGTACCTTGCAGCAAAGCAAGTTGAGGAATAAAAAGCTAAACAGGTAAAGTTTGTGACCATTATAATAAAATATGTTATTTGCAGGGTGCTGCAAGGAAGTTGCAAGCTCTGGAGCAAAAAATGAAATTGGCTGCTGAAAAGGAGCATCATGAGGAAAGCTCCACCCCTGGTCCAGATTGGGAGAAGGACAAAGACCGTGACAGCCGAGAACGAGATAGATCACGAACTAGTAGTGAAGGTAGAGAGGAGAAAGGCACTCGTGAAGCAAGAGATTCCAGGGACATTCGTGATCACAGAGAGAGAGATTCTGATTTCAGGCCCATCTCTCAGGTAATTCAGTGCTTTTATTTACAAATAGAGAAATTGAAAATATTGTCTTTTCATTTTCTAAAACTTTTTTTCTCCCTCTCTCCAAGATTGGGGAACGTCCTGCTTTTATGCGTGGAGACCGTGAGTTGACACGCAATGATCGGGAATTGCCACGAAATGAAAGGGATCGTGAAATTCCACGCAATGAGAGGGAAAGAGATATTTCCCGCAATGAACGAGGACGTGATATTCCACGCACCGAAAGGGACCGTGATATGTCACGTAACGATAGAGACCGTGAAGTTTCACGCAATGAGAGGGATCGCGACATAACACGCATTGAAAGAGATCGTGAACTGCCTCGAAGTGATAGAGATCGGGAAATTTCACGTAGTGAAAGGGACCGTGATATGCAACGCAATGAGAGAGATCGTGATATACAACGTGGTGAGAGAGAACGGGAAATACCGCGGAGTGAGAGAGAACGTGACATCCCTCGGAGTGATAGAGAGCGTGACATTCCACGTGGTGAGAGAGACCGTGATATTGCACGCAGTGAGAGAGACCGTGATATTGCACGCAATGAGAGAGACCGTGAAATTCCACGCAGTGAGAGGGACCGTGAAATTCCACGCAGTGAGAGAGAGCGTGAAATTCCACGCAGTGAGAGAGAGCGTGAAATTCCACGCAGTGAGAGAGATCGGGAAATATCACGGTCTGAAAGAGACAGAGAAATTACTCGTAATGAAAGAGACAGGGAAATTACTCGGAATGAAAGAGACAGAGAAATTAGTAGAAACGATAGGGAAATTCCACGAAATGATAGGGACCGTGAAATAAGAGGTGATAGGGATCGTGAAATAACTCGCAGTGACAGAGATCGTGATATTGGGCGCAATGATAGAGATCGTGACATTCCCCGAAATGGAAGAGAAAGGGATATACCCTGCAATGAGAGAGATCGAGATGGGTCTCGAAATGAAAGGGAAGTTCCAAGAAGCGAGAGAGAGCGTGAATTGCCTCGTAGTGAGAGAGATCGTGAAAGAGATATGCGTAGTGAGAGAGAACGTGAGAGAGATATTCGAAATGATAGAGACAGGAAACCCAGGGACTCAAGAGATCGTCATGATACACGCTATCTTGCAAACTTGCCTCCGCGGTTTCAGCGTTCAGGTATTGACCGTTCTAGTGGATTTTATGGAGGGCAGGGAAGCCAACAGGTACCTCCACAACCAGCTGTTGGATCAGGGCCAACTCAGGGGCCTCCTTCAGCTACCCAGGGAGTATTTCCACAGGGCTCTGCTTCTACCCAAGTGTTTGATCCACGTTGGAATCCTCCTCATTTTCCATCAGGCCCCATTCCAGGTTTGTGATGTGGAATTGTAAATTGAAAGGGAAATCAGTTTTTGACGTTCATTAATATGATTGCTTTTTTTCTGTAGCACCAGGAACTGTCAATAGCAATATAAAATCTGGGTACTTGCTTCCTCGAGGTCGTGATGGTGATGCATCAACCCCTGACAGAGAAAGAGAACGTGAACGAGAGCGGGAGAGAAATGAGCGTGACCGTGAAAGAGAGAGGGAACTTGATGATAGAGAGAGAGATAAAGAACGACCTCCTAGTCGAGATCCCAGAGACAGAAGAGATCGTCATATTGGTGATATACCAGAGAGGTTTGTTTTCATGTTATGAATGAAAATGAATTGTAATTGCAAAATACGTTACTTGAAATTTGTTGTTTTTGTTTAGATACAGGCCTAATGCTCGAGAGAGGGATGTTCGTTCTTACCCTGATAATGGTATAAGTGCCAGAAAAACCTCTGGGAATTACTATGAAGGACCTCCTGAGTATGGGCGCAGTTATAGCAGAGGATCACAAGAGTATGATAGAAATGAGTATGGCAGAGGAAGAGAGAGAGATGCAGATGTTGATTCTCGAAGTTCAGAGTCCAGAGACAGAGAATCTCGGCTTGGCAACCGTGAAGGGCGTGATAGAGATGGTCGCCATTACGATGATCGTAGGGATGGTGAATTGATAGATGAAGTTTACGATCGACATGTAAGTTGTTTTCTGTGAATGTATTGCAATTTTATGTTATATTGTGCAGATGGGATCTGATACTTATTTATTTGCAGCCTCCTCCTCAACAGGCTCAATTTGAAGATCACAAAAGAGAACCAGTTAGTGACTTGAATCGCCAAGAAAATAATGATTGGCGTGAAAAGGATAAAAAATTCTTGGAAGATCGTGAGAAATTGGAACGTAGAGATGCAGATGGGCGAAGAGAGAGGGAAGAGCGTCCACAACGTCCTGACAGTCGTGATAGTCGGACATCACGGGAATCCCGTAATTCAAGAGATTCTGTTCGGGAAGAGAGGTAGTTTATATTACATGAAGTGCTTCAATAACTAATTCAATATTGCATGTGCATTCACGCATGCGTGCATACACACTCACTCACTCACTTATTCATTCACTCATTCATTCTCACTCTCAACTCGCTCTCTCTCACTCTCAACTCGCACGCTCTTTCTTTCTTTCAACTTGCGCTCTTTCTCTCTCTCTCTCTCTCTC